GAACCGCTCTGGCCAGTTCTTGCCTAAAGGCTGGCCATCTCGTACGCGTAGTAGTTTTTCTGCCATATCTGCTACTTCACATAGACGGGGGGCAAATCCTCGCGAGTCTAGGTCAAGAATGTATCGTACGATAGTTTGCTCTTCAGATTTAGTTAGCTTCTGGCAATTTGGCTGCGTCGTAGGTCGAAAGGTGATTCCTTGAAGCCGCCGAGAGATCTGCTGATGATGGACGTTATAGGCTGCTGCAGCGCGTCGAATGCTCTTAAACTGGCCTGTACGATAGGCCTGAACTGCTAGAGTAAGCCTACCCTCTTGCTGAGTAAATATCACGTTCTGTTGTTGAGGCATTGTCTTTCGTACGTGAAGTTCGCGATGCCAAGAAAAAGTGGCACTCTCGGTGGGGTGGCACTCTCGGTGGTGGAATACGTTATATATTGATGCATTTTAAGTTTATAGCTTTCCCCCCCCCCCCACTTTTTCCATGCCCTCCCCCGTTGCAGCTAGGCGGGGTGGACCCGTGGTGCTGGCGGGCTTATATGTGTGTGTATGTACTTAGCATGCATGTACAGGATGCAGGCTGCAGGAGCCGACATGGTTGCAAGGTACCGTTTGAGCAGCACAGCCGAGGCGTTGCGGTTAGTGTTTGTGGAATGCGGGCTGGGGCTGGGGCAGAGATGGCGCAGCAGTTGAAGGTTGGCAAGATGATGATGATGATGATGATGATGATGATGATGATGATGATGATGCTGCTGATGATGAGGGCGCAGTGGGCCGAATGCAGCTCCGCCATGCCATGTCTCCGTCCCGGCGGTTTATAGTTACTTACTAGCATCCTTCTCTCTCTCTCTACTCTAAGTACTAATCATAGCATCATCATCATCATCATCATACGTAGTAGTAGCAGTAGTAGTAGTAGTAGCAGCGCACAGCACAGCACAGCACAGCCTCTACAGGCTTTTCGCGTTCCCTGCTTTTCTTCCTGAGCGGTCACGACCTGGTTCCGCTGGCCGTCCCCGTTCGGTGCTGTGCCCTTGGCCCAACCGCCATGCCCGGTTTAGCAGCAGAACAAGCACGATGAGCTGGCAATGCCCATGGTCGCCCGTCGCCCGTCGCCCGTCACACACCCACGGGCATTCGTCGCCTCGCATTGCTTTGCTTGATGCACGTCAGTCTGTGCGACTCCTCCGCCTGCCCCAATTGCCTCCCCCTTCCCCCAAGCCCGACGTCGCTTTCTTGTCTTCTTCTTTTTCTTCTTCTTCTTCTTCTTCTTCTACATCTACATCTACATCTACATCTACATCTGCACTGGCCATTGCGCGCGCTCGACCAGCCATCGCAGCGCCCCCCAAAAAGTCCGCGACCGCGCGACTTCGATGCCTGCTACTCTCTCCGCCTCCTCCACCCGCATCTCCCCAGTCACTCGTTTCATCCATTCGCACGTCGAGGGCGCCGCGCCCCCGAGCGCTGCTGCGGCTGACCCTCCGCTTCCAGTCCGGTGACGTTGGGCCGGAAAAGACACCAAAGAACACACACACACAAAAAAAAAAGACTACATATCCACTGGCAATCACTTGCCTGGGCGGAGGCCACGGCGACTGGCCACGCAGCGCAATACACGTCTTCGCGCATCGTGCATGTCCGCCCCCGGCACACGCTGGCTTGTTTTTTAATTTGCAAGAGTCGGTGTGAGAGCGCGCGCGAGAAAGAGAGAGGGTCGGAAAGAGACGTGTGTGTGTGTGTGTGTAAGTTCGACTTGAGCATGCTTTCCCACCCCCCAGCCACCTCCCAGCCCTTCAGCTTCTTTCCCTTCCCTCCCCACCCCCCAACCACCCTCGTGCCTTTTACGCGTGGAATTGCCCCCGGCCGCGCGCCCGCAATGGCTCCTCTGCTAGCTTTCCCCCCAGTCTCTGTATCTAATTCCATCACGTCCCAGCTAGCTCTTGTGCCTTTGCCACGACCAGCAGCAGCAGCAGCCCTCTCTGCTCTGCTCTCCTCCACCCCCCCTCGACGCTGCAAGGGCAATTGAGCCCCCGCGCACGCCCCGGTCTTCACGTTGACGTCCAGCAACCGTCTGGCGCCCGCAAACATATTTTCCTCTCACGACCCGCCTTCACGAGATCACGACCGCCACGCGCCACCAGCTATTCCCCAGTACCGCACCTCGCTCCAGCTACGCCAGGAACAAGCTGAAGCCTTCTATCGCACCCAACACAACTGCTCCAGAGCCTCGAGCTCCTCGGGAAGCGCCCCCTATAGCCTCCGCCGCACCCCCAACTTTGAGCGCGCCAGGTCCGCCGAACCGACCACCCAGCAACCGCCGCCGCCGCCGCCGCCACAGCAGCAGCGTGTTCGGTTCCAGACACCTCGCCCGTACTCTGCAGAACCCCATCCTGCCCTTCGAATCAGCAGGCGTACTGCGTCGGCAATACGCTTCGTGCTCGAAGAGGCCCTGCGCGTGCCCCATCCATTCACACCGGATCTGGTTGAAGAGAACGCCCGCATGTCGGATTTGACCGGCGGCCGCGCTGCCAATGGCGGGGCCCGTACAACTGGTGGTCCTGTACCTGTCGATCGCTCCAATATTCGCACCCCTACGCAGATCATGAACGCTAGACGCCAACGGGCTGAAGTCGAGGAACAACGAAAGGCCGCAGAGGAGGAGCGCAGGAGAGCCAGCGCAGAAAGAAGAGCTCAAGCTGTTTCTGGTGTAACTGGAGCACCAACCACAGACCCCGGCACCCAGAGGCAGCCTCAGTCAGCTCCACGGTCGGCCGATCAGTACGCCCAGTACCCGGCCTCGTCTGGCGGTGTACCCCGACAGCCCGAACGGCCCATTCCAGCTCAGAGCGCCATGAATGAGCCGCCAGATGCGACGACGGGCGCCTCGCAATCTCGCCCTAGAGCAGCTTCGCAAAGCCAGCAGCCGTCTCGACCTACCCAGGCGAATCTAGGCGTACCCACGTCTGCAGAATCCGGCAGACGGCCAGCCGGCGCGGGCCACGCACGACGGCCTTCTGCTCCTGCAGCCACGTCACAAGCCGGTCCGTCTGCCACTGCACAGCCGCGCCCACCGCCCGCGCCCGGTTCAGCTGCTGGGCAGGCGCGAGACTCGACGACATCAAACTTTCCGCATGCTTTCGAGCGCTGGGAGACTCTCTCTTCGCACTGGGAAGGCCTCACCTCGTACTGGATACGGCGGCTCGAGCAGAACACGGATGAGGTTCGCAGAGAGCCGCTGGCCCAGCAGTTGTCGCGGCAGATTACCGATCTCTCCGCCGCCGGCGCAAACCTCTTCCATGCCGTGGTTGAGCTGCAGCGCCTGCGCGCGTCTTCGGAGCGCAAGTTCCAGAGATGGTTCTACGAACACCGCCAGGACCAGGAAAAGGCGCAGGAGCGCGAGGCACAGCTGACAGAGCAGATCAACACGGAGCGCGAATTGCGCCTCGAGGCTGAAGCCAATCTGGAGCGCATGGCTACCGAGAAGAAGAATGCCGAGCGAGCCGTCACGGAGATGAAGCGCGAGTTGCAGATTTCCAAGGAAGAAGCGCGCCGGGCGTGGGAAGAGCTTGGAAGACGCGAGCAAGAGGAGCGCGATCGCACTTTTTCGCTGCGAGAGGGCCAGCCTACCCTGGTTGGTGGAGTGCAAGTAGTCCCAATGGCGCAGAACATGGGACGCGGAGGAAGAGGCCATGGTGACGACACGTATGGCGGTGGGCAGAGCAGCGGGTCCGGCATCGAGCAACACTACTCGTATGAAGAAGGCCCTCAGTCGCCGACCGACACCGATCCCTTTACAGAGGGTGGGCGTCATGGCCAGCGGGAGCATGACATGCCTGCACCTTTGGCCCAGGGCACTTATGTTCCGTCCGGCGCAGCTTCGTCGTCCCGACCTGGTGGCACTAATGCTGCTGGAGACTCGACGCTCGCTCCAGCGCCTCTGCAATATCCTTATTACACGTCGCAATCGCAGCAAACGCCCACTCAACCCGCCATGTCGCAGCCTGAGGCGTTTTATCAGCAGCCAGGCTCGTACTTGCACCAGGAGTCTGAATCGGGTCTGCCAGAGGATGAGCAGTCGTATGTGACGTCTCAGGCAGACGAGTCGGAAGCTGATGTCGAGTATGCGCTTGATGAGAGAGGCAACTACATTCGCGATGAGTCTGGTCACCGCATCCCGTTCCGGTCCCTCCAGTCGCCTGGTTCGGACGATTATGACGTAGAAGACGCTCGCCGGCGTGAGCTTGAGCATCTACAGCACTACGGAACGGCGACGGGTTCGCAAGGCGGCTATGCAACGGCGTCTAGCGGGCCATCCTCGCATTCCCAAGGCTACGCCACCTCTGGCAGCCAGCCAGACTACAGCGGAGACGGTTATGGTGACGAGTGGGTAGGCATGAGGCACCACCACCCCACAAGATTGAGCGATGTACCAGAGGAAGACGAGAGAAGTCGGACTTCGCCCAGCCGGGCGAGCCAGGCCAGCCGAGGACGTCTATATTAGAGCATGAGGACTCTTCCCTTTCGCACCACACAAGTCCTTGTACACTAAAGCTTGCGTAATTTGGTATCCCATCCATTCCCCCGTTTGTTAGATGATGTTTCCATCCGGAATATCTTTCTTTCTCTCTCTCTCTCTCTCCCCTTTTTTTTCCTCTATTACCCGCAGTTCTCGACGCAAAACGCGCCGCCTTTTTAATCGTATTAGCATGACATGTGTGTGTGTGTTTTTTTTTTACAAGCGAGCATCCATTCATCCATGCATCCATCTACACATAACGTACTCGAATTACCTACTCAGCCACAGACACACATACATACTACTCTCACACCCTTATATGCGTTTGTTTCGTCCGTCTGCTTGTTCTTTTGTGGTTTTTATATATACCCTTCTTCTTTCGTTTTTTATAAAAAGGAATTTCAGTCTAATTTGAACGTCTATATATATATATTGATGGCGATAGCGATGTTGTTTCTCTCTCTCTCTCTCTCTCTCTCTCTCTCTTTTCCTCTCTCTTTCTCGCTTCTGAATGACTGACAAGATGTGTGTGTGTGTGTGTGTGTGTTTTCTGCGGCATTTGGCTACGTTGTGTATGCGAATCAAGCACGTTAATTCCCTGTATTAGTAGCTTTTTTATTTTTATTTTTTCATTTTTTTTTCTTCTTCTAAGCACGCACACTTTTTTTTCCTTTATTAATGAGGGGCATGGAAATGGGTAGATTGGTTTGAGTTTGAGTTTGGTTTGGTTTGAGTTGGTTGGTTGGCAGGTTGGTTTGGTTTGTCAAGTAAAAAGGGCAAAGTAGTCAACGTTTGGGGGGGCCGTTTGTTTGCGAATTGCGTTTTTAATTTTTTTGTTTTTTGTTTCTGTTTTTGTTTTTTGTTTTTGTTTTTGTTTTTGTTTTGTTTTTGTTTTTGTTTTTGATATTTTTTTTTGATCCAAGTACGTACGTATTAAAAGGATGGTTGTTGTAATAATTGGCAATTTGGTGAGCTGGCGGGGTGGGCGGATTAAATATATATGTTGCTTGATATATCATGATAGGATAGGATAGGATCACGAAAATATATAATGATGGTGTGAGAGAAGGAGAAAATGTATATAAATGCCAAACTAGACTGAAATTAGATATCCCATTCCAATCTCGCACTTATTATCCCCTCGCACACGTTCGTCGCGTCTCGCCATGCACTGCTACAACTTTGACGCCCTCAACACGGTACTATCCATGCGCTTGCCCTCATCCTCCTGCTCGGCAACACTCAGATCCGGAAACCGCGCTGGCATCATTCTGCGCGGCACACTCCCCGGCACGACACTATACCGCGCAAACTCGGTGACGCCGGTTTCGCGCAAAAAGTCCTCATCCACAAGACACCGGCCATTCACGTGCTGCGGCGCCGCCTTGAGAATCTGCAGCACAGCATCTGAAAACACGTTTGCGGTGCGCAGGTCCCGCGCGTCTTCGCGCCGCGTCGCCGCGCTCTGGATCGCAGTCGCAGGCCACAAACTGGTTATGGCCATTTCGGTCTTGGCTTCGCGCGCGAAATCCATGGCCAGTCCCGTGGTGAAGACGGACATGCCGATTTTGCCGATTGCATATGCGGTTTTGCCCCGCACGAAGCGCGAGTAGATGGGTGGGCTTACGACGATGATTCGGCCTTTTGCCGCGGTGCTGGCTGCGTCGGCGAAGTGCGGGAGACACGCTGATACAACGGCGTATAGGCCCTCGATGTTGACGCGCTGCATCAGCTGGAAGCGCGATAGAGGCGTCTGGGAGACGGGCGCCCACCAGATGGCGCCGCTGTTGTAGATTACCACGTCCAGCCGTCCGTGCGTAGCTAGCGTTTGCGAAATGAGATTCGAGATGCTGGTCGCTGACCGTGTGTCGACCGCAATGGGTGTTGCTGTGCCGCCCGCTTTCTGGATCTCCAGAGCAACCGTGGATATGGTTGAGGCGCGCGAGTTGGGGTCTGGTGGGAAGGGCGTTGTGCTGGAGGCATCTGATGTGGATTTTGCGGATACGACGACTGTTTGTTGGGGGGGAGATGGTGGTGGTTAGCTGTGGTCTCATTCGATACTTAGCTCTTTGGGAGAGGGGGGCGGGGGTTTTTTTTGACTGCTTTTTCCCCTGCTCTTTCTAATTATCGTTTCGTGTATGCGCCTTGTGCACCTTATTCAATCGTGTATGTGTATATAGATGCCATGTCCTTACCTGCATATCCTTCTTTGGCAAGATCAATAGCTATCTGCCGGCCGATACCTCGCGACGCGCCGACGACGAGCGCGACTTGCTGAGTCGTTTTCGCATCTGCCATTTCCTCTCTCTCTCTCTTTCTCGTTTTTCACCTTTTTTTTTCCTTCTCTCTCTTCGCGTTGCAGTCTTGTACAAGTTCCTCGCGGAATACAAACAAACGATGGGGTTGCACGGCCTGGGTGATATGTACCAACGCGAAAAACCAAAGGTCGAATGAATGCTTAAAAGTACGCAGTTAAACTGAAAAGTAATCAAGCCACCCCCGCGTCCCGAACAAGCCTCGGTGGTTCTAACAAGGAAAGTTACAGTTTATAGCATGTGCGTTGGGCGGCGTGCATGAATCTGGGGTTAATAGGCGTATTAGGGTGCGGCGTGAGAGGTGGAGTTGATGTCGTGCTGATGATGGTGATTACTGATCGGAGGTTGTTGGTGCTGGTGCTGGACCGAGGTAGCTGGTACGCTGGTATGTAGGGGCTGCTGGGGTGGAGAACGACAATGTATGTGCGTAGGATGTGTGGATAGAGGTATTTGGCTGGGGAGGAAAATTAGGGGACGAGGGGATGAGACGTTGGGTGGGTGTGTATGAGGAGGTCACGTGATATGTATTGTAGTCTTGATTCTGGGTCTGTACTCTCGTGTTCAAGTATTGTATGCTGGCCGATTATTGTAGATGTTATACTTGAAGCTCCTTCTGCTATTGTCTAGAGGAACTTCCGGAAAATAGATATATTTGCAAAATTCTATACAAACGACCAGAAAAACTCAACGTATGGTGCTTCCGTGACACACGTCTAGGTTCTCTTCCTCTAGCAGGCGAGATTCTCTGCACCTTGGCCTGATTGAATAAATTTGTACCTACGTGGATTTTGTGTTGATACCCAACCCTTCCAAACTTCACACTTGGTTTCTAGCCTCCGCTACCTCGTCTTCCAACAACTCGACGACCTCAACAACTGCAACAGCGAAGCAACAGCATCATCACCTCATCAATCCAGCCGTATTATAGCTGCCATTCTAGTTCCTTGTTGATTTCTCCCATTTCTTCTCATCCACCACACCCAACGTCTTTCCAACAATCTCATCGTCATCAGAGCCCAAGCAATAATAAGCAATCTTCAACCTGCTTCATCGCAGTAGCCAGCATCATGACTACCACTCTTTTCAGATCATCACAGAAATGTAAAATTACCAAATCATAAAGTGTGGGAACTTTAGATTGACACCTGTACAACGGACATTTTCAGTTCTGAATTACCACGATTCCCCAGTGATATAGCTGCCTCCGGGAACTGAAAATGCAGCTTCAGGCTACTCAGCCAAATCCCAGTCGATACGAATGCATCTGCCTTCTACTACAACAACGACTGGCGATGGTTTTGCAGAATGGTGCATGCCGCCTTTGTGGGGGTCATATACTTAGCTCAGAGACCGGAATCACCACCAGCTTGTCACTGTATTATACCTGTTCCCGCCACTTGTTGCTCCTATTTTGGGTTGTACATTGCGCCACGATATCCACCACGATCATCATAATATTATAGCTATTTCGACCACTACATTTTAGCTCCCGTTTTAGGTCGTGTATAGTGCCCTGGCAAAAATCAGACAAGGGTGGAAAGACTGGCTAGCCCTGTCTCTCTGACTGCCTTTTTTAGATTATCCAACGGTCTCAGAACGCCGGCGATGCGAATACACAACGAAACTCTTTTTATTCAAGCATTCAACAGAACGTATGAATACAGGAAGATCAAAGCTCCAGTATGCAAAACCGGGACCAGCCAGAGAACCAGAGACACAACAAGCGATATACAAGCCAACTCCTGCTGAACGCTAGCTACCCTCGAGAGTTCAGGGGAGACCTCCTCCTTGTGTAGCATAGTCAGTGCACGTCAGATATGCCCATGTCATTGTGCCGATCTCTGTGCCGACGGGGGGAAAGGGGGAACGCATGCCGCCTGGGAAATGCGGGTACTATACCCTCAGGCGCTAGTTCATGCACCTTACTCTGGGGGGGCAGCGGCACGATTTCGTTGGCCGTGTTTGAGGTCAGCCCCGGACAAGCTGTGTTTTAGCGTTGCGTGCCCGCGGAAGCCTATGTACAGTGGGGGACTTTTTTTATGCAAGTCGCTGCGCGGGTAGTGCTTCAACGACTTGTGTAGTTTCCATAAAATGCCAGCTGAGAAGGAGGAGTTGAGGAAGATGTGATATGGCAATGGGCGAGGCTTCAAGGAGCAGGGAAGACAATGAAGACAAGTCATTTCACACTTCTCAAACACATGGTTGTTACTCAAAATGCGTAAAACTCGTCTTTGAGATGTCTTCTTCGCATGCCAGTTCTACGACAGCGCTCCATGTCTTCCTACATCTCAGACTTGACGCCCCCCCAGCTCAGCATCGTCGACGTGTCTCTCTTTCTCTCATCGACTCAGACATTTTCCCCATGTCGCCCCGTGCATGCCCATCCCCCTTTGACAGCAGTATCCTCGCACAGCTTATGCAAGCGGCACCGTCGCCGTTCTGTACGACTGGCGATGCAAAGAGTGGATCGTGTGGCGACCGGAGGCGGGTACGAGCTTCCCCAGACATCTGCAAGCACAAGTTGCATGCATGCAAGATAAAGTCTCCGCGAGCTGTCAAGGTGGCGCCGCACGCCACCCGCCGTGATATGCGCGGGAACCCCCAGCGCCATGTCTCACACGTTCTGTACCACGCCGCTCGCGTTGGCCGTAGCTGGGCGCCGGGGCTGCGGCCGACCGGTGCGATACAGAGTGCAGCCGAGATGGAAGCGAAGCTTGAGTATATATCTTGCAGCTTGCATTGTTGTCTAGCAGCTCAGTACCGCCCAATCTCGGGCGGGGGCGTCGGCTGGCCGTGGGGGGGTAGGTATTGTTAGAAACAGCATAGAGCGGCTTTCCCCGCCTTTTGGCAGCGGGAATTCGAAACAATAAACTGAACTGTCATTTACGCGAGTTGGCTTTTGCAGCCGTGGACAAAGTGCTGTGGCGATCAAGCATCGATTGCGGGCCTTTGTGTGTGTAACGTGGTGGGCAGAAGTTGACGACATCCCCCCAACCCCCAGTAGCCACTAGGATCCTGTCAACCCAGCGAACATGGCCGCAGCAGAGGACATACGTACCTGCGTCTCCCTGGCATCTTATCTGGCTGTTGACTGGTGTATCCCGCAAAATGGCTTGCTGCCAAGCCATGTCATGCAGAGAGCCGTTCGCTTCTGCGCATCGGCCAAACAAGACGACGTAGAATCTTTCTCTCGCCAGCTCAGCTAGCACCAAATGAGCAATCTCTGCTCGATCCGACGTTTGAGCCCTCGCCATCGTAGCATCACCAACCGCTTGTCCAGGGAAGAGAGAGAGAGAGAGAGAGGCTAAGGCCGATGCCCCTCCGACAGGCTACCCGTATTTGCCTCTCCCTCTCCCTCTGTCTCTGAGCTGGCCACGCTGGAGAGCTCAGTGCATCGTCATGGCAGTGTCACTGCCTGGAAGCGGAGCCGTGCTTGCTTCCCACACTGCTGTCCATGTGCTGGACAGCTTTGTACAGCTCATTCGACAGCCTGACGGCTGCAGATATCCGGCCATGCTTCTTCAGTATAGGCTCCCAGCGCGCTTCAACGACAGGCCGTGGCGGGCCTATCCCGAGAGCTTAGGCCCTGTCTCTCCCGTCTGCCGCAGTATAACAGGACATGGGCATCGGGGCTGGATGCTGGGTGCTGGGTGCTTCAAACGCGAGTCTCATTGCTCCAGTCGCCGAAAGTCGGGGCTGTCTTACAATATAAACGTGCTGGCCGTCACTCGCAACTCCAAGGCTCGAGCCCTCATGTAATTGGCTTTGTTTCATCGCTTGGCTTCGGCTTCGTCTCTGCGCTCTCTGTCTTGCTAGTGTATGACTGAGCGGCCCTTTCTTTACCCTGTGTTTTCTCTTGTCTGGCTGTCCAAGGGACTCGTTGCACGAGTTGCAGCGCGCGGATAGACAGGCTAGAGTGTTTGTATGTGTTCATGCGACCACTGTCGCCATATTTGGCCTTTCCCCCAGTTGTCTCGAGCTATCGTGGCACGCCCTGGTAAGACATCTTCCATTCACCAATTTGCCTCCACGTTAGCGAACTAATAGTGCGTATCGATTAGGTACCTTGCCTGGTCCTGCTGTTGCATCGTATAGATACGTGGGCCAGCCTGGCTTTCTCCGCTCCTGGCGCCGACCATTCACATCACCAGGCCAGAAATTACAATATTGCTGCTGTCTTGCGCTAAGCCCGGCGAGACGCTGCACTGGCTACATTTCCGACATTCCACCGCCCCCATTTTGTGAAGCGGTCAACTCCATCGAGCGAATAGAGTGGCGTCACGCCGTGAATGCTACACACAGCAGTTGACCTCGACACACCGACGAGACCCGCAATATCCAGTCACGCCCACTTCACAACTCACGAGCTTTGCGATCTTTGTTTTAGCCAGATTAGACATTCACGGCGACTTTGGCACGTGTTGTGAGGCTGTCGACTCCACTGATATCCATAAGAGGCGCCTGTCCTACGCGCAGCCATGACGGAAGCTCAACACCTTGACCAGCATTACACTCTAGACCAACAGACTCTGCTCCGTCACAACTACGCACTGTCGCCGCCCTGCTTACGCTATACCGACGGAACTGCTGAAGCTCTGCGCCAGTTCAGCAACGCCCGTCACGGTTTCGCTATGGCGCAGTCAATGCTGGTAAGTGATCCCCAGATTGAATGAGTGATATGATTGACAGTTACCAAGGCGAACCAGTGCGGACCTGACAGCTATATGCAGTCTCAGTCCTGGGCACTGCAGCCAGCAGCATCGGGCAATATCAAACCGTCGGTCGCCGCACCCATCGATCCGAGCTCCAGCGTAGTATACCCTTCCGACCAGACTTGGAGTAGCGCGCCCGTCATTCCTAGCTCTTTCAACTGGCATCAAGCAATGCAGCAGGTGGAACCTTATATCTTGCAAGAATCGGATTCTCAGTTTGGTCGGAGCCACGAGCTGCTCTACGGTTCCGTTGGTGCACACAACGCCGTCGCGAAAGGCTTCGAGTATAACGGTCAAGCAACATGGGCGCCACCGCAGCTGGACAGACTGCCCAGAGTAGTGAATACGGGTTTGGCTGACGCAGCTATGCGTAACTCGATATCGCCAAAGAGTTACGCTAGTGACGACTTTGACAACTCTTACAGCCCAGGATCGATGCCAGATCAAGTCTCGCCAGGTGGTAACTGGCAAGGGTTTCAGATGTCGTCCCCAAACACATTCATACCGCCACCCAAATCCGAATCTTACTATACTGACGCCGACTTCGCTGGCTTGCCGCAGATGGGTGCGGGCATGGCCTTGCCCTTTGCGCAGTCTACAGACGGTGGTGGTCAAGGACACGTCCCACAGATCTCTGAAGAGGTCCCACTGCCTAAGTCTGAGCATTCTCCCTCACAAAACAGCAGTGTCGGCAGATCCACATGGCGCACTGAGCAATATCAGCAATGTACCTCGGGCTTGTCCATTAGACCCCGCAACGCTGTAGGTCACAATGGACATCCCTCCAGCGACACGAATCTCTCGTCCGAAGATGATGATTGGCATAGGCGTTATCGCCCATCTCCGTGGAACAGTCCGCATACTACTCCCACCCAAGGTCGCTTCCAGGCGCGGTTCCAGGTTCCTCGCAGTGCTAGTGCACAAGCCCAAAGAGACCATAACGACCGACTGCTCATCGAGGGCAAGAAGAACGGCGAAACATACAAGGAGATCAAGATGAAGATGATAGGCGAGAAGCCCGCCGAATCCACCTTGAGGGGCCGCTACCGTTCCCTGACCAAAGCCCGGAAGGATCGCGTTCGGAAGCCTGTGTGGACAAAAGTTGATGTGAGTAAACCTAAGGTTGTATTCTGAAACTTTACTAATGCTCTCGTAGCTTCGTTTGCTGGTCGATATCGTCCAGCAAGAGTTTGACCGCGTCGAAAGCAGCCTGCAGCACCCGGGCGCCTTGGGCTTTGAGCAGAAGCTGGCCAAGGTATCCTGGAAAAAGGTGGCTGATTACATCCAAGAAAACGGCGGATCATACCACTTTGGAAATTCGACTTGCAAACGAAAGTGGCTGGAGCTGAACCCTTCATACCAGTGATTGCGCAGAACCACTTGAGCAGTTGCAAGCACGATATTATGCATTATCTGGTATACCTGATGCGTGCAGGTTCTGTTAGGCTTGAAGTCTTGATGTTTTGTATTTCGGAATGCCTTGAAGTAATCTGCCCTTGCCAGGCAGTCTCAGCGGGGCACTCTAGCATGCGTCCTCGCGACTTGGCCTAGGGATTTGTCTCTCATCTTGTCATTTCTGGAGTTCTTGCTTGATAATTGTATCATTCTGTATTTCATCCTGCTTGTCATTCTGCTTGTCATCCTGTCAGTTGTAATGTTTGTTAGAGCCTTTGCACCACCGTCATCTGGAGGCGCAGCGGCATAGACGGGAAAGCTGCAAGGCAGAGCGGCCTGAACATGTCGTTCAGGGAACTCTATTGAGAGAGATACTGTATGCTATATTCATTCACCATGTAACGGCTCATATGCGGTAGCCGGCGTGTCATTTCAGGAAATCCGTGATGGTGGTGAAGGAATGGCGATGGTGACGTCGGCTTCGGCGCTACTGACCGCTAACCCCGAAAGCTGCAGCTTGAACCATGTCCACCTAGGTGTACCTCGATTGTTGCATCTGCACTCATGAGGATGGCACTCGAACTAGCTGAAGCTCTCCCGAGCATCGTGAAGCGCAAATTCGACGCTGCAAAAGCGTCGTCAGAACTGCTATTCTCCCCAACAGACGTGGCAATCATCCGCACATCCAATGGCATTCCCGTGAGTCCAACCAGAGCCCATTGCAGCCACCACGCAACTTACAGATATTCAAGTTCCAATTGCGCTATTGCCCCTCACTCGCAAAGAAACCCTTACCGAAGCTCGACCAGAACATGCCGAAGCAAAAGGTCGACCCTTTTGAAAACCCGCCCGAATCACTCCACCTCATTGACATCCCGACCGCGAACCCCACACACTTTCTGGTGCTGAACAAGTTCCCTATAATAGCGCAGCACTTTATTCTCGCTACAAAGTCGAACAAGCAACAGACACACGTGCTGGAGCAGGACGATCTAGAGGCAACGTACGCGTGCTTGAAGGCATGGCAAGACGGTGGCGGCGGTGGTGCAGACAACCAGCAGAAACGCCTTCTCGCCTTCTTCAATTCTGGCGAGCACAGCGGCGCATCCCAGCCACACCGACACCTGCAATTCCTGCCGGTCGAAGGCATGCGCGAGAGCGAAAAAACGAGCAACTGGGACATGCTTATCGACGTCATCTTGTCGCGCCGGGAACCCAGTCCACCGGGTAAGTCGCTCGTCTGCCCTAAACCTACATGTCCTTCGACACAGCTAAGACCAGCCCCAGACACCCCAGCTGGGTTACTACAACACCCGGATCTCCCCTTTACACACTTTGCGCAACCCTTTGAATCTGAGCCCTCAGGCCCGCAGCTACTCGAAATATACAACCGCCTGTACAAAGTTGCACGAGCATCTATAGACGCCTTCATCTCTTCCCACCCCGGCCAATTCGCCCTGCATCCAGTAGATACCGGCGATCTCCCCATCAGCTACAACCTCGCCATGACCACCGCAGGCATGGTGATCCTGCCCCGCCGCGCAGAGGGCACCATGCTGCGCCGCGACAACGGCACGGAAATCGGCTTCGTGGCGCTCAACGGGACGACCCTCGGCGGCACCATGATGGTCAAGCATCAGGACGAGTGGGACACGCTGCGTAATACCCCGGGTCTCCTCGATACAATTCTCGCCGGCATCGGCATTCCTAGGGCTTCTGCTGATAAAGTGGGCTCTCCTAATATCTGAACTGCTGCACGATTCTATATTTTACTAAACAAGAAGCGAAGAAAGAAAAAATGCATTAGCTAAATCAATGCGACGAGGACAACGGTGGGTTGCTTTTCACGTAGTTTCTCTTTTTCCAGTCTCCAGTCGTGATACACCAAGCTTGCATCATGAGCATATTGTTTCTTTTTCTTTTTCTGAAGTAAACTAATCTGGAGAAATGCCTCACCAAAGCGAATGCGTAGAAGTTAAAAGAAGCCTCAAACATCAGTTGACCAATCCCACAACCACACACCACCATGCCATGCTCAGATGACCAAAAGAAAAACAAGAAAAGGAAAATGCTCACTTCATCATATGTCGACATCAATTCAGAAACAGACCAAAGTCAATTGTAAACAGTATTTGAAAAAAAAGAAGAAGAAGAAGAAGAAGTAAAAGGGGTTATCACGGAAAGTAGACTGTACTGCCGAAAACAATCCCTTCTTTCTGGCGCCCGCTACGATGCAGAATTATATTTTCCCTGCCCCTTTCCCAACCGTCCCTGCCCGACCAGTCCTTGGACTTGATTGACGCCATACATACCCCCCTTTGATGAATCCCTTCTTCCAGTATCGGCCATGGTTGTCAGCTGGGGCTTTTCCCGTCTCTCCATGAATGATCAAGCACGGCCCACAAACTGGACGTAAAAGCTACGCCATTCCTTCTCCTTCTTTGGTCCTTCGAACGAGGCCGCAAGTAGGCGTAGGTATTCGTTTTGAACGTCTTCCTTTGCACCTGCATTGCTGAGGTCATTCTTGATACGCTCAACATAAGATTCACCAATCTTCTTGATGATCTCACGCTGGAGATTTGCAATCTCATACAAGACCACTACGGCTTGTGCATCGTAGGCGTTGAAGTTTGCCGCTGATGGGATGGACCATACCAAAGGAGAGAATCTTTCTACAACATAGTTTTCGAAGCCTGGCAAGGGCGCTTGGGCGGTATCGGGCGACGAAGGGGCGGCATTTGCGCCAGGTCCGACCTTGTCAGGTCCACACCAGACGGATATCATGCGGATGAGCACGGCGATTGCGAGGCGTGCCGTCTGGTAGTCTTCTGTATCGCGTGCGAATGTCTCAATAGACGAGATGATGGTTTCGAACATGCCTTGGTTTGCTAGATAATGTCAGTGACATACCATGGCGCGTATCATGTCAAACTTACCGTTACTGACAAGCACAGACCCAAGACCCTGGTTGAGAATCACAATCATAAAGTTCAAGTATTCTCGACGGAGCTCGCCTCGTTGAATCCACTCATCTGTGCCCGAAGGCTTGACATCCAATGCAGTGAAGATGCGCTGCAAGACTGGGCTCATCACAGTATCCAGGATACCGGCAATCTCTGACTTGAAAGTGAAGATGACTTGGCCAAGGACCTTGAGGAACGTGCTGATCTCATCCATGGATGAACTGAGTGATAGTAAGCCTTCGATCCACGATGGAAGCTGCTGTAGTGCTCGTGAGCCTAGAACGGCAATCATGCGCGAAAAGGCAAACCGTGCTGCGTGACGAATCATACTGGAAGCGTGCAGTGACTCAAGAGCGACCAGGATGGCCTCGGATGCTTTGACAAACTCGTCCGCCACCTCACTCTGCGGTACAGCACTGCTGTTGTTGGAAGGCACCCAGTCAGAATACCCGCGAGCTAGCGTTCCCAAAGCCATGATGATGTGATGTATCTGTAATATAGATCGCTCATCACCACTCCTCGCCTGAGGCAGGGTTTTCTGCATGTCCTCAAAAAGCGGAGTTATAATGGTTTGTGCGTAAAGTTTCTTGTTTTCCACCGAGACCGTGCTTGCTGAGGCAATGCATCCAACGGCCTCGAATAGGTATAATTGTGAGTTGAAGAGGGCATCCGCGGAATGGTCCTCTTCGTCAGATGACATGTCATCTTCTGAACTATCAGACAGCTCAGCTTTGATTGTGAGCAAGTCCGCGATCGCTTGGATGATGTCGTGGGAGACGTTGCCCAGCTGCGCCCGCAGGTGCTTGACGAGGCGTTGGAAGAGGTACCAAGATCTGGATCGCACTTTGACGTGTTCGCTGTGGGTAAGATTGACAAAGTTCTCGATAACCTTGGGGATGAGCCCGGGGTTTTGCTCGAAGAACTGGTAATAGCGAACACAAATCTCCATGTACTGTAGCTGAACGGCAGGATGTGGGTAGTTGGCGAGGCCAGAATCCACCATGCTGTTCATCATGATAACAAGCTGCTGAGCAGCCGCAGAGGAAGGCTCGCGCTTGGCATAAAGTCCTTGGTTCCGGATGGCAAGCTCTCCAAACAGGTACATCTCGTAAAGGGCGAGTTCCAGATCGCGCCAAGTCAACGACTGATCGTTCTGCAACAAGCGTCCGAATGTTCCATTCACCAGGCGGCTGAGTGTCTCGATATAGAAAGATTCGTCGATAGCGGTGACCGTCTGTTGCAGGACATGAAGGCGTCGTCGGAGATCTAGGAATTCAGCCTCGTCTGTTTGCTCGCCCTCTTCGCCCCAAGATGCCGTTTCGTCATACTTCATTTTTGCAATGATTGCGTCCAGGACAGGTGGTAGCACAGCGGCGTATTGCGGGGGGACAGATCCTGTCTTCTTTTGTAGTTTGCGCAGGAAGGTGAGGAGGTCGGTGAGTGATGGAATCACAGTCGAGCATACTTCGTCGTATTGGTCGGCGAAGAAACGTAGGAGGTATGGCGTGAAGATTCGAATGAGGTCGTCTGCACGCTGTCGGACGGCTTCTTCGACGGCTTCATTTTCTAGAATCTTGACCACGTCAAAGACGATGTTGTTGACAAGCTTCGCAACCGTCTCTGCAAGATCGTTGTCGTAATTTGGACTGTGAAACTCGGCCAAAGCTGGACTAGTGATGAGTTGGCCGACAACTTCAGAGAGATTCAGAAACATGATCAGATCGATTTTGTCTGCAGGACTCATTTTCTTGCCAACAATCTCGGAAAAGGTGTCGATGGCGGCATCGCGCACCTTTCCAGCAGCGCTCTCGGGATCAGTGATGCCTTGCTGACCAGCCATCTCCAAGAAAGTGGTGATCATGGCTTGGTTGACAACCAAGTTGATATCGATCCAGCTAACCCAGCGTCCAATTGTCCTCAGACACATTTCCACGAGACCGAGGTCCGTCTCCCTCCACTTGGCGAGAATCTCTTGCCAGGACAAGGCAATCTTTTGCGCGTCTCGCTGCCGGATGAGATCTTTCAACTCTGTGCTCTGCTTCTTCTTGCCATCGTCGCGTGCAACCAATTGATCCGCTATCTCATCGTGGACCTGACTGAGCAGGCGAAGGTAAAGGAATGTTGTAGCCGTGTTGATGTTGCCGATGGTGGTCTGGTCGCCGGCCAGGACGCGGAAATCGTCAAAGAAAGATTGCCATGAAGACGGGTATAAAGCCACAAAGAGATAGGTAACAGTCTGCATCAGCTTGTTCTGGATATGACTCGCATCTGCAGATTCACCGCCTGGCACATACGACTGGCGGATATGGTTCATAAGAGTGTCCTTGACGTACGCCGTGCTCTGCTCATCGAGTCGGTAGCTCTGCAGGGCTGTATTGACGAGGTCGAGCGAGGTGTGGCGGACAAAATCGGTGGCGCGAGGTTCGCGTGTGAAGAGTGCAAGGGCCGCTTGCCATGCGGAGCCATCTGAGCGCAGTTGTTCGAGGTATCCTATAGCTTGGAGACGCAGCTCCTGGCTCGCAGAAGGGTTGGCAGCGATTTGGATGGCATTCTCAATCTTGAAGACAGCTGGTTAGCATGAGCGTGGCGAGGCCCGGCAGAGCAAGACAATGGGCAGCGCATACCTGTTCCTCCATTTCCTCCGCTGGCTCGATGCCGGATGCGTAGATTTGTGTCACTAATCAGGAGCGAACGTGGTTCGGGCTACGTGGTGTGCATCGGAGGTACTGGAAGGACAAATTTGGTGTACTGGAATGCTATCGGGTCATTGAGTAGGGCGCGGAGTCTGCATCGTGAGAGCGTTACAGCGGTGAAGGCAGAGGCGGGGCACGAGGGGCTGACATACGGCGTGTGCAAGGGCTAATCCGAAAAGAAAATTGGGATAGAAGCTTTTGCCGGGCGCTGCAGGCAGCAGATCTGGAGCAGGAAAAAAAAGCAAGGGGGAGCTCTGAACTCGGTCGGAGCGTCGTGGGCGAAAACAGCTGTGCAATGACTGTTGTGGAAGCGCCAAGGCTAGTTTTGTGGTGGGATGCCCTCACGCCCAATTTCACCGAGTGACACGTGCGCACAAAAATGGTCCCTCGACCCAGCGGCTTCCGACGTCATCCAGAGCCTGCAGATCTTCTCCGTGATATACATTAGTCGAGCCAGGGGCGCCAATCACGATTGTGGAAAAAAGCTTCAAGACGCGTATGCCTGCGCTTCGATGTGGGTGTTACAGATGTCTTTCTAATTGTACGTAAATTTCTAGTCGAGCTACCCGCAAATCATGTACCTGTGCCCAACGATAGCTTGCGGCCCGCCAAATCATTCCAATGTACATGCAGCCGGCTCATGCTAACCCATTACGGATTCCAATTGGTGATCTATAGTTTTTCTCTCGACGGGGAGCTGCTTCTGTAGTCGTGAGCAGGCTGCGGCCGTCATTGTAGTCACACGAACTTACTACGCGCCCAAGTGCTTCGCTGCCCATGCAACGTGGTCGTCCGCAAAGGTCGCCATGAAGTAGTAGCTGTGGTCGTAGTCGGGCTGCATGCGGAGCTGGATACCCTTGTCGTTGCCAGCCTCCTTGGCTGCCTGCATAAAGTTTTCGGGCAGAAGTTGTCCTTGCTTGTAGAAGTTGTCTCCGGTACCCTAATGTGTTTTAGTAAAGTGGTGGTAGATTTGGACAACTCGAGACATACAACATCAATGAGCATCTCCAGAGGACCCTTCCATTGCTTTACGAGCTCTGATGCGTCGTGCTCCTTCCACTTTTGTTGCTGGTCTTCGCCAAAGTATCCTTTGAATGCCTTCTGGCCCCATGGGCAGTTGATCGGGTTGGCAATGGGCGCGAATGCTGAGACGGACTTGTACTTTCCAGGGTTCTTGAGGAACTGGAAACAATTATCAGTACCAGCAGATGCAGTATCACTGCTGCAGACATACCAATGTCAACGCGCCGTGGCCTCCCATGCTGTGACCGGTGATGCTAACTCTGCTCGAGTCCAGCTCCTTGAAGGACGAAAAGAGAGCATCGGGGAGTTCCTTGGTGATGTACGAGTACATGTTGTAGCCCTTGTTCCATGGCTCCTTGGTGGCGTCTACGTAGAAGCCCGCGCCGGAGCCAAAGTCGTATGCCTCATCCTCGCCCTCGATCTGGAGACCCCCTAGCATGGCGGGTTAGTCAGGTGTTCCGAGTTTACCCGACAGTACCTACGTACTGGGTGAAGTGTCGGGATACACAATGGCAATGCCGTGCTGTGCGGCGCCGTGCTGGAAGAAGCCCTTTTCTGAACAGTTGTTGCCGGTACATGTGAGACCTGAAAGGTAGAAGAGGACGGGCACCTTTGCGCCAGATTTGAGCGCCTGCGGGGGTAGGAACATGTTCAGCTCCATATCCGTGTTTGTGCTGGCAGATTTGTGCTTGAGCTTGAGCAGCTTGCCTCCGAACGAGGCAATGGTGGCAGTGGTTTCGAAAGACATGGTGGACGGTGTATGGTGCAGGAAACGCGCTGTAGGAGGTTGGAATACAGATGCAAAACGAGGGGCCCTCAGAAGTTTTGTGAGCTGTCGCATTGAGTGACGTTGTACCTGGAATTAGTGCGGGGGAATGAATAGCTACGTTAAGCTACCCCACCTTGGTCTAATCTTTTGGCTCGTTCAAGGAATCAGATCCGCGGGTCCGCACATGCAACGGAGAAGGCTTGGAGTTAACGGGAATCGGATGAGATTCGGGATATAATTGCGCAACCACGCCGACAGACTCCATTCGCCAAGATGCCCCATATTTCACCAGCAAATCAAACTCCATGCCCAATGCAACCCACCAGACTGTTTTCTAGGTCAGGAGTTCTTCGCAAGTCCAGTCTTCGTAGAAGCCATCAGGCAGATATCTCCGCACAACCAGCGGAATCTTCTTCTCTTGCAGCTCCTTGGCAGCAATCTGCAGCGGGTCCGTCATGCCTTCCACATCAATCAAAACAGGCGCGTTTCCACTGGAGATGCGTTAGCCTTGCTGTTTTGCGGCGCCCGGGGCCCTGCGCGTACCTGATTTGGAGCGCTCTTGTACCGAGCACACGCGCCTTCTCGTACTTGGTCATGTATGGGGTGGTCGTGCGCTTGTCGTTGGGGACCTTTTTGTCCTTTTCACTTGTAACCGTGTTCTTGGCCGCCTCTCTGGCTGCAGCCGCCGCGTTGGCGTCGCCCGAAACCACTACGTTGTCGTCGTTGGGGTCGGCGTTGTCTGGGTCCTCGCCGCCGCCGGGCTGGTCGTCTTCGTCGTCCATGAGATCGGGCTCGGCTTCCTCGTCGAACTCGATGAGAGGCTCCTCGCTGTTCACGTCAGCCATGTCCACCTGTCCATCTAGATGCTGGGCTTCTGCGATGGGAAAGCTGGATGCACGTACATGTCTCCCGCACCGCCATCGTAGTCGTCGCCGCCGTAGTCAGACATTATCGCGGCGGAATCTAGAGAATAACGTGTGCTGGTTCGAGTGCTGGTGGTTTTGCGCGTCTGCGATGTTGCCGCGAGGTGGTGTGCCTGATGCGACGAGCAGAGAAAGAAAGCTCTGGACTTTGTCAGGGATCGGCGCAGGCACTAGACTAGTCGACGAAATCTTGGCGCGATGAAAATATAGTGGATCTCCAAATTCCCACCCTGCTTCTCCGCATCCACGACTTCATCTGGCACCACCATGGCCGTGAAGCGCAAGGGGGCCGACGAGGCCAATTGCGCGCTTCCGAAAAGGTCTCGGACAGGTACAGCCGCCCGTATTGCTATCCCAATGTCACCACCAGCTAACATCCCGGAGGTGCTGCGGCGGAAGTCACGGAGAACGACTATGCTTCAGACGACTCAGCCGACTGGAAAGTAAACTTCACCGACAATGGCGCTCCGAGGGCAGAGAGCGAGGCCCGCCGACAGTGGAATTACGTCTGTCCCGTGTGTTCGCAGCGATTCAACCGGCCATGTCGCCTCGAAACACACATGCGAAGCCACAACAACGAACGACCGTTTGCGTGTACCGAGCCGGGATGCGACAAGACGTTCCCTCGCAAAGACCATCTGCAGCGCCATTTGAAGAATGCGCACGGCGACCCGGCGGCCGAACGAACATTTGTGTGCGATTGGAATGGATGCGGGAAGAGCTTCACCTCCAACGGAAGGTTGCAGAGGCACAAGGATGTGCATGCGTCCAAGTTCTACTGCACCGAGTACCCGCCGTGCAACCAGGCGTTCAGAAAAGCAAAGTCCCTCGAGGCACATGTCAAGAGCGAGCATCTCCAGGTCAAACCATACATTTGCACTCATGTTGATGAAGAGACGGGCCACGAGTGCACAAGCGCCTTTCAAACGGAGAACGCACTGCGGCGGCATATGCTTCAGGCCCATACTGAGACACGGGAACAGGGTCATTTCTGCATGCTCTGCGCCCCCGCTGGTGATGATGCCGAAATGCACATCGACTCTGCTGGCCCTGCGCCACTTCCGTCATTTGCGACCAAAGAAGAATTGGACGCACATACAGCGGAGTGCCACCCGCCAATGTGCACAGAATGCGGCCAGAAATTCAAGCATGCGTCCACGCTCAAGGCCCATGTTGAAACCTTACATGGCGACCCACAAGCACAGCCACAGTATCCATGCCCGAGATTAGATTGCGACAGTATCTTCAATCGAAAGCACAACCTCACGGTGCACATCCAAGCGGTCCATGACAAGCACTTCAAGTACTCGTGCACATCGGACGCTGTGCAGAATTCAAAACATGCCGATCTCAAAGCCTGGAATGGAGAGAATGCATGTGGTGCCTTGTTCAAGGCCAAGTCGTCGTTGGACCAACACATTCGGACACACCATCTCAAGCTTGGAACCCGCAAACAGCTGCGAAAGGCTGCAAAGTCACAGAAGAAGGCAGAGGCCTCGATGCTCACCATGCTGACGGGCGTAGGCTACGAGGAGGGACGAGAGGTGCCGTGCCTGATCAAGACATGCGAATATCGCTTCTACTTGGATCGCGATCTACGACGTCATATGCGCGCGGAGCACAGCACGCCTGACGAGGAGATTGAGGAGATGATCCAAGAGCGCGATGCCATCAGCGGAGGACAGTTCTGGATTGGTGGCTTTGACGAATCCATGACCATGTTTGATTCCGCTACGCCGAGTCTGCCGCAGACACCAGGCCCGTACTTTACAGAGGGAGCCATGCCCATGCAGCCGTATTCTGATCCAAAGGGCATGGACAATGGAACCGGTTTGTTCCATCAGCAGTTTGACCCAATATCACTGCTCAACGAAGAAGCTGAGATGGATATGCAAATGGGGCTGGGTGATTTGCCGGCAGCCATGGATGCCCAAGAAGGGTTGCAATGGGACATGCTTGCTCCCGTCGAGCAATACAACAGCGACGCTACTCGCGGTTAGGAGCTACTGATGCTAAACGCACACTTGATGTGCTGCTTGTAATCTCCTGACAGGCAAACCCCCCATCACGATTGTCTAATGACGTGTAACGAGATACCCTTATGTAGCAATAAATACCTTGTCATGAGTCCATCTTATCATTTGTCGTGTGGCGCCTCTGTAGCCCCAGCTTACTCGCCTCTGCCCCCCGTAGCGCCGTGACATTCATGACACGTCGTCGCGCGCCGAACAACAAGCCCATGTACGCAAACAAGGGCCCTGGTATCCAACCACGAGAAACCCTACCCTACCATGTCGCATATGTACCCCAGCCTAATACAAGGCCAAAAAAAAGATCACTCGACACATGAATGTGACTTGCACGCCTGAAAAAACGCAGAGATGCAAAAAAGCTGGCGTGACACGAGGGTTGTAGGTATTTCCCTCAACCTAGTCCCAGTTGCACACGCCCCCCAGTCTCGGAGGCCCCACTGCTGCACGGCATTGCCACGGCACGGGGCATTATGTACACGGCACGGGGCATTATGTACACGGCACGGCTCTTACATACATACATGATCCCCACTTTTCACGCCGAAAAAAAAATGAAATAAACCAAATATACGGTGTAGCTGTGGGTACATGTGTATACACCGTATTTATATGTATGTACGCATCAAGTCAGTCACCCGCTTACTACTCCAAGTTAGACTAGGCTGTAGAGAAAAAGCAAAAAAGCGAAAAAGAAGGAGGAAGAGGAGGAGATAGATGAAGCTGGAGCTGAAGCCTTGCCAAGATAATATACCATGATAGGACATGACACGATACGATAGTTACATTACACCGACTCTCTTCCCAGCTGTAGCGGTATGTAGCTGTATGTAGCTGTATGTACACCAACTGACTCTATGTACACCGTACACGGCAAGGCTATGACACCCTATCTTATTCTACAGCAGCCTGTCCCAGCCTCCAAGCAAGCAATCAAGCAAGTCCTATAGAAAAAATCTTTTTTTACTCTTTCATCAGTCCGACTAGTGTGTCCTTATCCTTACCCTTGTTTTCCACAGCATCTACAACAAACGCACTTGATTCCGCATCCCATCCTATCCGCATTCCCATTCCCATTTCCTTCCCATTGCCGTCGATTCCTTTAACCCAGCTAACATACACAAGTCCAAGTAAAACCACACTAGTGAGTCCATACCACGATCCGATCAGCATCCATAAAGCCCATACTTAGCTATAATAAACATGTATGCATGAATGGAAGTGGAAAATCGAAACTCGCAATCACGATCACGATGGCGAGGCAAGCAAAAGCAAAAGCAAAGATCCCTGCGTCGGAGCAAATTGATTTAAGCGAGAAGAAGAAGAAAAAGAAAAAAGGAAAAAAAGGAAAGAGTACCGCATCCTTGCATATACACAGACACACATACATACATACATGCATACATACATACATACGCTACTCAGCCCACCCAACACACTAAGTAGTGCTAACCAGGACCCCACCAATCAGGTGCATACGGCCACGGCCACGGCCACGGCCACGGTCCAACCCTCATCATCTCACCACAGCAATAGCAGTAATCAAAAAAAAACCCCCACCCCAGCTCATTCTTCTTTGCTTTCCCCCCCCCCAGCCTACCAAGCCTCACATACACATACATGCATTACCCCATACGAAGTACGTAGCCCGTGTGTCAACTGACTCGAATACCTGGATAAAGTACTTAGTAATACTGAGTAATACTTACTAAATACCAATAAGTACTGATACCGCGAACGATCTGACTCGCACACCCTGCACATGTTGTATACATGTTGTATACATGTATAGGTACGTACATACATACATACATAGATGCGATATAGACGCGGAATAGATAGATAGGATAAATAACACACCCTACACACACACCTACACGTTTCTAGTAAGTACAAGTACAAGTACAAATACAAATAAGGGCGTGCTGTATATTACATGTTACATGTAGTACAAGTAAAGCATGGGGCGGGGGGGCCCCCTTGTAAAAAGTATCATGTGGGTTGTTAGTTGTGGTTAGTTGTGGGTTGGGCTGGTCAGTGCTAGGCTGGTCAGTGCTGGGCTGGGGGGTAGGTAGGTAGGTAGGTAGGTAGGGATATAGTCATGTACTTAGATGTAGGCATGTTTTTTGGGTGCTTCTGCGGGGTAGATGGAATCTCGAGTCTGATGTATGCATGTACTGTATGGATGGATGGATGGATGGATGTAGTATGTATGTTACATGGGCGCACCTATACATCCATCCATCCATCCATACGTGCATACATGCATACGTTGTAGCGGTGAGGACCAGGAAATCTTGGTTTCATGTCTTATTATTATTTTTTTGCTTTTGGTATCCCTGTATTGTTTTGCGAGGATAGGGTGTGGGTCCTTGTCGTATGTATGTATGTACTAGTACAAGTCATGATGATCAAGTGACGCGAGATATTTACTGTACAGTAGGACCTTTTTGCCTAGGTTGTTTGTTTGAAGGTGTATGTGTGTATGTGTGTGTGTGTGTGTGTCTGTTTGACGAGGTTTCTATCTAACACCGTGGGAATTACTACATACATAGGATAATGTGTGTGAAAGTGAGTTGTGAAGCTCTCTTCGTCTTCTTCTTGTTCATCTTGTTCCTCGATACAAATGAAAGAATAGGAAAAAAGGGAAGAGGACTAAAAACTAAAGTATACAGCGTTGATTGCACACCGAAAGAGAGACAGAAAACCAGAGAGAGAGAGAGATGCGGAGAAAAGCGCTGGCCTCGCACTATGAGAACCAACTCAAGCGGCTCAAGACTCAATACGAGGCCCGCAAGAGCGAGCGGATAAAACAGGTACGTGCAGCACAGACCGCCTCATCGTGTGCCGGCTTACTCATACGAACTTTGTACAGCATGCAGATGACCTGGATCTACTGGAGGAGCGGCAGCTGCTCGCAGAGCATGACTTGCTGCAAACTCAGGCACAGGAAACTCAAAACGTAGCAACAGCATTAAAGTATATCGAGGCGTACTGTCTCGGGCCCGAGTCTCAGCATGAACGCACCGTGTCAAAGGAAGACTTTAAAAAGCTCGAACGCCAAAGACTATTGCAACAGGGCCTCCCAAGGAAACATGGCAGCGCCATCAACGTGCTCCGAGCAAGACAGGAGATGGACTTTAAGCGAAGACTGGAAACCCAAGAAGCCGAGCTCACGCAAATGGACGTAGACTTTGAGAAGGAAGAGGCGACGAAAGAAGCAGAGTGCAAGAAAGAGCTGGAGCAGCTGGAGGCAGTCATTGAGGCACGAAGAAGGAGACTACAGCAGAGATGGGAGCTCAAGTTTGAAATGTGGAGACGAGATTGGGAGCAGCAGCACAACACGACGCTAGACGATCACCTCGAACACGAGGAGTGGCCGCCCCGCCAATCTCATCATGTTGTCGTAATACCAGAGGCGAGTGCGTTGGCTCAATACGTCAAAATTACCGCATAAGCCGTCGCCGACGATTTTCCTTTCGCCCCGATTACCGGGTGATTTCCTTTTTAAACTTTGCGGTAAACCTTGCGCTCAACAACTGAGTTTTTTTTACAAACGGTCCTCACTGGATGGTCTTGGGAACATGGAGGGAGGGGGAAACGGAAAGGGAAAGGGAAGGGAAGGGAAAGGGACAGGTTCATTTCCTAATTTTCCCGACTAATCACACATACAGCGTGGCGTTTTCCATCCTTGTGGGGGGGGGGAGTAGTATACACCGCATGCATAGCGACATCCGACTGTCTTTTTTCTTTCCTTTGTCCTTTCTTCATCACTGCATGGGTGGGTAGTTTATTTGTTTCTGTTTGCTCTTTCTGCTACGATCCATATACCCCCTTTGCCTTTGCTTCGATTGCGTGCATGCACTCAAAAGCCGAGACTTGGTCCCATTGCTCTCTCTGCTGCAGCTTGAAGCTCTTGAAGGCAGCTTTTGCAAGGGCGGGGTCTGTGCTGATTGGCTCATGCGTAGAATGTCGGGCCGGCACGCTCGATACTGTTGATGACGTTTCGGAGCCCAGAGGACTTTTGGCCGAGAGCAACGGTTCGCTTGGTAGTAATACTCCGGGTTTGCAGGAACCGGGGTTCCGTTGAAGGGCCACATCCGACGCCTGTACAGCGCTTTCTGTAACAAAGTCCGTCTTTTCTCCAACTGCCGCGCGCGGTGCTGAAGTTTCAACATGGCCACCCTCTACCGCTGCGACGTGGTCGTTGCTCTGGGATGCGACGTGGCTACCACTGCAAGTCTTGGCCACGCGCGCGTGCAGGCTCACAGTGGCGAAATACCTCGATTCTCTGCGCAGCTTGGAGAAGATGGCTGAGCCTCGCTTTTTCCGCGACTGCTTCTGCTGCGAGGATGGGGTAACAGAGAGGACCGAAGACCTGCTCGACAAGGCCGGGGACTTGGTTGCAGGCGCGGCAGGATCCAGGCGCTCAATGGGTGGGTGGGCAGTGTCGAGCGATTGCGGAGCGTGTGAAGGCGTTGGGGGCGCGCGCTTGGCCGAGGGATGGTCGGTCGAGTAGACATGGTCTCTCGAGGTGCGCGAGGGGGCCGAGGTGAAGCTGGTCGAGTGGGTTTCCTGGGAGCGGATCGAGGTGGCACTCGCCTGGTCGCTGTCCAAGGTCATGGTGGACATGGCTCTGGAGACGGATCGTGGTGGGGGCAGGAAGCGATAAGGATCGAGGATACCGGACTCGCGGGCCTGCAGGGCCAGGTCGGCGTCGACGTCGTCTTCAGCGTGGGCGACGGGCAGGCCCAGGGCCTCGGACAGGTAGACGGCATCGTCGAAGATGGGCGCGGTGCTGAGGGGGACGGCGAGGTCCCATATACGGTCGGCCATTGCGCCGGAGCGCGCATGCATGTGTACTGATGGAGTGGTTCAGGGTGTGGGTGACAGGAAGAAGGGCAGACTATGACCAAGACATGCAGGCAGCGGAAGCGATGGCGGCTTTGGAGGTCTAGTCGTCTAGCGGTCTAGTGCTGGATTAGGCGTGTGCTTTTGGGGGGGGGATGATGTGGGCTGGCCAGAATGGCGAGGCCAGCCAGCACACTTTGTTGTCGTGGGCGGCTAGCGGAGCGGAGCAGTGCAGTAGTGTGAGGAGCAGACGAACCGTGGTGGGCTAGGCGGCGACATGACATGACAGATTGGAGCGAGTGTGGGTGGGTGAGGGTGAGGGTGAGTGGGTGTGAGTGGGCATGTGTATGTGTGTGTGTGTGTGTGTGTGTAGGCATTGTAAAGGGAGGCGCTAGCGGGCGTGTGGGGGGGCCCGTGGTCATCTGGTCGCTGATGGTGCATCCAGCGACTGCTTTGTGCCGGCCAGCCATTCGCCCAAGGCACGGCCATGTCGCCCGTCTGGTTGCGTGCCCTGCTTGATGCTGCGCTGGGGTGGAATGGGGGCGGAAGGGGGGGAGGGGGGAGGGGGGAGAGGAGAGGCGGAGACGGAGGCGGTAATGATGGCGCTCCCCAAACACACGTCGGTTATGCCAAAGCGCTGAGGCCGATTACACCTACACCTATAGCAATAGTGCTGCCTATGCCAATCCAATGCCTATCAGGCGCCTGCAGCCACCCGGCCGATGTTGCGCCGCGCGGTGTCGTCATGTCGCCAACCCTATATCCTACACCACCACCACCACCACCACCATGGCCATCACCACCCACCCTACACTACCCCCATCCGGCCGGTAGCCTGGCGCGCACGCCGTTTTTTTCCCTAGTGCGCGCCCCCAGCCCATGCACAGGCTCGCGCCGCGCCTGTCATTTCACCATTATGGCGGCGGGAGAGGCGCCACGGCCAGCCAGCCAGCCGGCCATCCATCCATCCGACCGTCCAGCCATCCGACCATGGCCCAAGCCGCGGTACACGTATTTGTGTACACGTCGGGCCCATCGACACTAGACATGTCCGCCCATGGACGCACAGCGGCGACCGTCCGGGGCCGTCCTGGATGTTTCAAACATGTCGACTCTCTCCGCGACGGTGGTGACACAGATGGGCGGCCTCGATAGCCTCAGTCGCCCGTCGCCCGCCGCCCGCCATCGTCATCGTCACCGCGAGCCCCCCCCCCTGCTTAGTCACCCGCCGAGGCCTCGCACTCCCACTCCCACTCCCACTCCCACTCCCACTCCCACTCCTTTTTGCCCACACTGCACCCTCTGCATACTTAGGTAGACTGCTATAGCCCCCTGGGCGACCCCACACCCTTGATGTCGCCCGAGCGCGGCGTCCAGGGAATGCAAATCTATTTCCGGCCCCGTCCATGGTGCTTTGTGCCACGTCCGGCCCGCACGCCATACGTAGTACATATGCAAACTAGATCCCAGGGCACAGACACACGGCCCGCTCGACAAAGACATTCCTGTTCCTGAAATCAAGGCCAAACTCTGATTGCGCGTCTATTACAAATGACTAGGTCGCCCGCTCGTTCCGCGTGCAATCGTCCATGCATGCACCGCACGTGCACACGACCAAAAAAATGAACAGGAGAAGATAATGTCAATCACATACACAACAGAAACGAAACAACAGAAAACACCCATGGCCAAAGGGCGTTGCCAGCACACTGCCGGGCCGGCCCCGTACCGCCTCTTATCGTCTTGCTCAACGCCAGTCATGCACAAGCATCAAAACGTACACAAGTCTACCCGGAAATGAGTACCCAAAGTAGGAAAACTGCTGCGTGTTAGCCTGCCGTGCCTCCGTCTGCCATTGCGCCATACGTACATATCATTAGCACTCCAAACATCTTGGCAACGAGCCAGCGGTTGCCCTGCACGCGGCTCCAGTACTTCATCAGCTCTCGCTGCGCACCCTCGACGTTGTCCACAACGTCCTCGGTGTTGGCGTCGATGCGCTGAATCTGCTCGCCTTGCTCCTGCACCATCTGCGCGAGCTGGCTGAAGATGCCGCCGAGCTCCTGAATCGTCGACTCAATCGACTCAATCGCTCGTCCCCGCTCTTGGATGTACGTGTTCTGTGGTTGGGCCTCTTCCATGAGCAGCAGCTGTGCGTCCGACTGCGCCCCGCCCCGCGTCAGAGCAGACGATCCCGAGGGCTCGAGCGAAAGCAGGTCCTGCTGCACTGCACTGGTGTTTCTGCCAAATCCTCCCGGCGATCGTCCTCGCTGCGGCGTCTGGTACAGTGGCGAGTCGGTGCGGCCGGGGTCGAGGCTGCTGCGGGATTGTTGTGTGGCCGTCGAGAGAAACTGCTCTGTCCGCGAGCGTGATGCCTGCATGTTCTTGGTGCGCACCTCCAGCACGTCCTTGAAATTGGTGCCCACGTTCTGCAGCTTGTCCTTTAGCAGCATGACAACATTGCTGTTGTGCTCGCCCTCTTGATCCACACCGGGCTTCGCCTTGGGGTGCAGCTTGGCGTTCATCTGCTGCAGCGCCTGCACCTGGCCAGACAGCGCAGCCATGTCCTGCTTGATGACAAACGTGAGCTCGTCAAACTCGACAGGCCGGTCGTCGAAGAGCGTTTTGCGCTTGGCCAGCTGCGACAGGCGCTCCAGCTTCTGCATGGTGCTCGCGACACCCCGCGCAACGTCGGCTGCATTGCGCGCAAACTCGGAGCGCTGGCGCCGCGGGCTGGGGTTCGCCTGTGCCTTTTCCTGTGCCGTCAGCAGCGACTGCCTCTGCGCGCCCGTCTTGGACTGCGCTTGCCGCCGCTGGGCCTGGGCCAGGATGGAGCGGAACTCGTCTGTACGGTCCTGGATGGAGACGGCCATGGTGTATGCAGGTTACAGCGCAGAGGGCCAGCCGGAACGGAAAGGGGGCAGAGCAACGCGGGTCGGCGGCGTAGCCAGGCGCTGCGATTGCGCGGGAGGGGTGAAAAGGGCGTCGGAACCGGGCTCGTCTCGCTCTCTGCTGCTCGGGGGGCGCGCAAAAGCCTAGCTCGGGGATGGGGGACGGGCAATGGCGACGCTTGCACTGGTGTTGGGTCGGCTTTGCCACGCTGGAATGTGTCTGTTGTGGCGGCCGGTGCCAAGGTGCCCGGGCGACGGCAGCGTGCGTCTAATTTTAATGCGAGGACAATGCGGCTGCGCGACTGCTACTCGCACTTGCTCGTCGATGGCGGCACAGGGTCGAGTGTAAGCGTGTTCCTTGGGCGGGAGTGTGGTGAAGGGTTGAGGGCTGGCTGGTCCGGGGCGGGTTGGGGGAACGTGGTTAGTTGGTCGAGGGGCCCTGTGCAGACGCGCCCATGCCACATGCGTCCACACGCATGCACATACACATACGCAGTACGTACCAGTCCCGCTCGCTGCCTGCGCCACACCAGCACCAGCCTCGCGGTGGCGCCGGGGCCCTGCGCCTGCGCCTGCGCCTGCACCGCCAGCCGTATAGCCGTCACGCCCACAGTCACGCTACGCACACGGCGGGCACAAGCAGGGAAGGCGAAGACGAATCTACCCCTCCTGCCCGTCGCCCTCCCAAGCCTCTCCTCGCCCTCGCCCTCGCCCTCGCCCTCGCCCAATTCTCACCCCTTCCTCTCGCTCACCCGTCGGCGGTGCCATCGGTCGCACTATTATTGGGTTTGGCTGCTCATCGTGCGCAGCAGGTGACGTATCATCATCATCCGGAAGCTCGGTCGGACCCTCACCCAGTCCCCTCCCTACCTGCGCCAGCCTGCGCCAGCCACTCTCCCTGACGTCGCAATCTACCCCAAGCCTGCATCCGCGTCGCGGCCAGCCACCATACTTGTTGTCCGCTCCGTCTCTCTGCAGCCAAGTCGCCCATCTTCCCTTCTCCCCTTGTATGACTTGTCGGCCATTGCGAGTCTTGGGCTTAGCCCCCGGCCGAGCCCTTACGCAGTAGTAGTGTGTGTGTGTATGTGTGCATGCCCCATACACGGAACTTGAACTGTCCACCATGTCTGGCCCATTCCGCTTCCACGAGGAAGCCAGGTCGCCGCTGTAGGTTTCCAATCCTCCGCGAGCAGCCTGCATCCGTCCACTGACTCGTAGTAGCGACCGGAGCGCGTCGCCTTTCTCTGCCGGCCAGCCCGTGTCCTTCAAGACGAATATCAACCGCGCCAAGACGAAGAAATGGGTGCAGGCCAAGAAGAATGCTTACGACGGCGACGACTGGGGCGATTACGACGAGTACGACGAGTACGGCGTGAACCAGGAACTGCAGGAGCCGCAGGAGCCGCAGCCAGAGAGGCCTGCGGCACAGCGATACTATGCCCAGCGTACAGAGCAGCCCTCGCGAAGCTTCACCGACCCCTCGCAGCAAGCACTCCATCCGAGAGCCCGCAAAAACTCATTCGACCAAGGAGAGGAGCAGCGCGCCTTTTCATCCGCCATGTCCCATGGACAGCCCCATGGCGATTCCCGCGACCCGCCCTATGGATATGACACTGGAGGTGCGGGCGACTTCAGCCCCTCTGCGGTGCCCCCACCATTGCAGCCGCGCATATCGCAGGTCCCGGCCAACTTCACTCCGCCTACAAACACCCAGTTCCCTCCGCGCAAAAGCAGCATAGGTCAGGGAGACTTGCCCATAGTGAGTCCTCCAAGACCGCGCAATGGAAGCGGTTCTGACAAGCCGCTGCCCATCGTCCGACCAGCGGACATATACAAGCGTCACCAAGAAGAACAGGAACGTGCACCAGCCAACATAGACTCTGTTCTATCACCAGCCCAGGAAGGCAAGTCACCGTCACCATCGGACGACCAGGACCTACGCTCCGTTGTAAATCAGGCTTTTACTCGCGTTGACGACTCACGCTCAGTTCCGCCAACCCCAACATCAAACGACACAAGCTCGGATCTTCTAAGGAGCAATACCGGCAGTACTTCCGGCATCAGCCCCATCATGAGCCGCGTTCCCAGCTCTGCAGCTTCCGCGTTGAAAACTCGTAATCAAGCAGAAGGAAGCACGCCCGTGATTACAGAAGAACCCGCCGAAGCTACGACGCCCGTCGCCCAGCCAACGTCCGAGAACGGTGAGCCGTTGCATCACGTTCCACGAAAGCCCTCACCGGCTCATTCTCGCAACATTTCAGGCTCCTCAATCCCGCGCAGCGGCCTTGCTACGCCCACACGCGGTGACAGCCCAGCTCGTTCTCCTGTTCTTGCACCCAGCAGAGATATTCCAGAGCCTAAATCCGCCCTGTTCTCTACTGACGACGACATTAGTCCTGAAGCCATGAAAGGCGGGCTTCAAGGGCCGTCTCTGGAGTACGCTGCCCGTGAAGCCGACCTCGCCGCTTCTGCCAGTAGCCGCCCAAACAGCGGGGTTCTCGACCTAGGAGCGGCGCAGCGCCAGTCACAGAATATGTTCCTCGAGTCTCACAACACGCAATCCCCCATTGAAGAGGTGGTTGCACACGATCGCTCCGAGTCGCCCAGCAAAGGTCGTGTGCAGGCACTGGCTGGCAAGTTTGGCGAAGTGTCTTCGAGACGTGGCTCAACACAATCGAATCGTTCCAGAAACAGCCTTCAGTCATGGGAGCAAAGCCAAAATAACTCACGTGCCGCGTCTCCGACCAAAGGAAGCCCGCCAAAGCCCAGCAGCCCGGTGAAGGAATTCCGCCCTCATCTTCCTGGCCAGTGGGAGTCATATACCACCACGGCAATGACGCCTTCAGAACAGGGTGAGCAGGATCGAGGACTAGACCCTGTCGATGACAAAAAGACTTTACTTGAAAAGTCAGACTTGACACCTACAACCGCCAAACAACCAGTTGCTGAAGTTTCCCCTACGGAGGCGGACAACTCTGACCCCATGGTTGCTCTGAAGAATGCTGGAGCTGCCATGGTGGATTCAATTCGTACCACTATTGGCATCAATGAACAATCATCTGAAGACCAGCAGGATCAAAAACAATCGGCCGAGCGTGGCAACGTCTATCTACCTAGACCGCTGCAACTTGATCGCACAATAACGTCTGATTCAAGTGCACCACCGACACCTCCCGCAAAGGATACTCCAGAGCCACAGGTTTTACCATCGCCATTGGAAGAACCATCCCCCGCGTCCCTGGAGGAGGATGAGGAGAGTGATCGTTTGCGCAAAGAAATCGTTGCTAGTCTTACCCCGTCCAAAGCTCCAGAGTCACCGACTGGTGAATCAAGCTTGACCCCACTCCAACCGGGTAGCCCAGGTACAAACCGTGCTAGCTCCATCTTCCCCAGCGAGTACAAGAGCTATTGGGCAGAAGAAGATGGTACTTCTCGTCGTTCTTCTCGGGACGCTGAGCCTGGCAAACAAGAGCAGGCGCCAACAAAAACGGTTGCTTTTCTCCCACAATCCGAAGATGCAAGCAAGCCTATCATTAAGCGGTTTAGCTGGGAAGCAAGTAGTTCCCAGCTGCAAACACCAGATGGACAAGCATCAGAAGTCTCCACGCCTGGATCTCTGAAAGCGGGAGAAGAACCCAAAGAATCTTCTCTTACTGCTGAGCGAACCGTGGAACAGGAACACCAGCCGCAGCCCAAGGGTCTTTCTGAATCTCCTTCTGGTCCTGTTCATACCATCATGGTTACAAAGCCTGATTCTATCAGTGACCATGAGAAGCCGGCCTTGCCATCCCCTCCTTTGGACCTTACACGCCCTCTGAGCAGCCCCAGTCTGGAGCGTGCCTATTCGCCAGGTCTTCATGTTGTCAACACCGAGATAGACCCTGAAGCTGTAGATCTTCCTCCACGCCTCAGCGCCGATCACGAACCGCCAGCACCAGCACCTGAAGAACCCAAGTTGATTGAAAAAGCAGCAACGCCGGAACCAACCGAACACCAACCTGCACTAGAAGCACGTCGGGAGGAACCTAGCATTCCTGCAGCGGCACAGGAGCCCTCTGCTAAGTCCCCGGCGACAGACAAGCCTTTGGGTGCTCGAGAGATTGCGACACTCAACTCAACCGTGGAACGAATCAATACATACAACAAGACTCGTGACTACTGGGCCACGGTAGACCACGGGCTAAGTGATTGGCTGACTGCCGCCTTGGAGGCCAACCCTGATGTGGCAACGCAGACATATCCTGTACAACGCGTGCCCACACAATCCATTCGCCATCGGCACACTGGCTCTCTTTTGTTCGGCAAGCTCGGTGGATCAAGCAGTCACGATGTCCCTGCCGAAGCGCATAATGACGCTGCCGTGCCGGTGCCTGCCAATATAGGCTCACCGACTGGGGGTACATCTTCTGGATCCGGGTTTGGTGGTCGGCTTGCGAATCAGCACATGCAACTCAAGGGCAAGGACTTGTTGCATACTGCCAATGTGCTGGGCGGGAAAGGCATGACGAGTGCCAAAGGGCTTTTCGCCAAAGGCAAGAGCCGTTTTGGCCGCGAAAAGGTAGACAAGTAATCCCTTCTCTCCTATCCCTGTATATCATATCACGAGAATGCTACGAGGGGTCGTTTCTTTGGCCGCGAGGCTGCGAGAGGTGACTGTATCGGATTGTAAAGGACTCTAACGTTGCGTTTTGACCTTGTTTGGGAGTTTTCATTCTTTTCCATTGTACGACCTTGTCCTCGCCTATAGCTCTGTATCCATTTAGATGTAATTTCAAGCCCGACCCTCAGGTCGCCCCATTTCCCACGCCTAGTGCCTGTGCTGATGCCGATGCCTCATGTAGGCATGCTCGCATTCCCGAACGGACTCGGCACCTTCCTCGCGCGAAGTTTCCGAAGAGCCTGAGCTGGTGACGAGGAGATCAAGAGCGGAGGGTGGATGGAGTGCAGCGTTGTTGGGCTCTGCAACTGAAGGGGAGGATGAGCAAGATATATCAAATGAGGAGAAGAATAAGAAGAAGAAAAAGAAAAAAAAGAATAAGCGATTCTCCTTGACGTCCCAGTTGCGTCGAGTTAGTCGCTCAAGAAGCAGAGCGAATAGTGTTGTTGTACCTCACGAGACAGGGCCGGCTCTTGGCGCAGCACCCCAGATTCCGCCGCCTGGTGAGCTCCATCGCTTGCTCATGTACGGCCATCGGCCGCACTCTTTTCATGCTCAGGATACTTGGACATATTACCCAGGCGCATCACCACCAGCTCTGAACGAATACCTCAACATTACAAATGCGCGCCAGCAATTCCCGCAAACACGCTTGGGCATACTTCCATGGCCGGCAAAGAGGGCTTCTCCAAGCCGGGGTAGAGACACGGAGCTACATGTCCCGCCAGTGCCGCCTATTCCCAATGAGGTTGCAGTCAAGCATTACCGGCGCAGATCAAGCCAGGATCATGCCAGTCAGCGAATGCTGCAAGGTGTTGGTCGTCATTCGAGCCCGTCAACCGCCCGTAATAGACATTCGATGCCGGCCATGATGGCCAAAGAGAGCATGGTATTTCCAGAAAGCGCAGTATTCGACAGCGGTACGCGGGCCGGTGCCGCAGAGAGAGCTCAAGACTACCAGGCGCTGCTGTTGGGTGTTCCCAAGGGAGCCTTTTTTGAGCTCGAGCTACCAACAAGCGCAGCGGAGTCTGAAAATAGGCACAAGCATGGATTTCGGGTTGGGACTGCTGCTGCTGCGGCTGATGGTGGTGGTGGTGGTGGTCTGACTAAGGCTAAAGAAAATATTGATGCTACTAATTATGATGACAATGACGATGACGATGACCAGCCCCCGAAATTGAACCTTGGGCCGTTGCCAGCTGGCACGACGCTGGGTGGAGGGCATGCAGTCGTCACAGATATATACATGGATGTGAGCGATGAGGATACCGATGACGGGGCTTGCCGGGGAAGACACATGGCCAAATTACGGGCGGAGCGCACAAGATCAATGACGGATACGAGTGTCGTTACTGTGCAGCCTCAAGCGCGCTGGTCGACAGAGGCCGAGATGGTGGTTGCAGACGATGCTTCGTATACCTCTCATCCGTGCTCTGATGACTGCGCGAACCATGAGGCCGCAGTGAGGCCGCAGCAGACGGCGGCAGACGGCGCCCTCAGCCCTGTGTGGTTTGCCAGCAACGACTTGCGCCACGGGTGGACTGCGAGGCCGGAAATTGACCACGATGCTGACTCGCGAGGCGCTGGCGAGATTGGCATTGGGGCTTGCGGGCAACAAGCGTGGCCGGCGACACGAACAGATGGAGACATTTCGCTTAGGCCCGAGCTGGCGGGGGCAGCAGTCCAAGTGCAAGTGGAAGCTGACACTGACGCCTCGCAGGCGCGCCGAGTTCCCGCGCGGCCTGCCGACACGACTACCACTACTGCTAGTCCATCGACTGCATCATGGCCTCTCGGTGACTCCACCACTCCACCACTGTACCTGTACGGTGCGCACCCGCTGAGCGAGATGAGCGAGGCCAGTAGCGTCGCCACGCCGGTCGCGCCTGTTCCGCGCATGCCCCGAAGTGAGCCCGAGGCGCCAGAGGCTGGACCGTGGCTGCATGGCGACGGCTCCCACAGCGACGACGGTTCCCATAGCGCAGACGAGCCAGGCGGACAGGCGCATCTTGACGAGAGCCTCCCACATCTCAAACCCCACGCCCTGCAGCCGCAGGCGCCGCATGCCACGACCATGGCCGTCCCCTCGCGGTCCACGTCGATTCTGTCGCAGATATCTGCCATGGTCCCCGAGGCAAACAAAGCCCCCTACGCACACGCTTCCAATGGCACATCAACCCCGTCCGCCGCCCGTCGAGCGAGGCCGGAATTTTCTAAAAAACTCCCAGCTCCGCCGGCTCAGATCCCTGAGGAGATTCTGGCCTCACATGACAGCGGCACTGCCCAGGGCGAAGACGGCGACGACGACGACGACGACGACGACGACGACTTTGATCTCTACGCGGATCACAATGGCATTGTCAAAGACGTGTGCGACGAAAACGGCCGGCCGTTGCGAGTGGCAGAAGCCACACATTCGACGCCCGACGCTGGCCTTGTGCGCGCATCCCACGACGGCGAGCCCCCTAGGTACAGCACCGAGCGCCCCATGAGCTTCATTGCAGGACCTGCAGACCAAGACGGAAAGCCCCAGGATCAAATCAATCAGTCTGCACTCCCGGCCAACGACAAGTTTCGCCCCCGCCAGCTGGAAACAATTTACTCTGAACTCCCGGGAAACTCTCCGGAACCACAGTGGGATCATGTCCAGCCGCCGCCTGCATCCATTTCACCTCCGCCCAGCTCACCTCCGCCCAAAAATGTCCTTCGCGCCGCCAGGTCAGGAGACGCTACCAAGCCGGCAAAACAGGCACCTGTTGAACAAACAAACTCTGAGAAATTAAACTCCCAAGTATCCCTACCGGAAGAGCTGGACGCGCATGAACAAGTGTCTCAAAACGTCCACGTCTTGAATCAGGATTTGCATCAACCCCAGCCCCAGCGAGCACAGCCCATCCTTCAAGGTATTTTTCGGGGGCAGAGTCCAAGTCCTGTGCCTCAAGCCCAAGGCCCGGAGCAGGTCCCAAGGAACCAATATGAGCTTCATCAGCAAATGCTGCAACAGGCGAGCAATGCCCGTCTTCAGAGTGTGGACAAGCAGCCGTCTGTCAGCCCTGAACCACCATCTGCTGATGAAGCGTTGAAGCCAAACGGAAAACCTTCGGCCAAAAACTCGGCTTCATCCATGTTCAAGATATTTGGCGGAAAGAGCGCGGGTCAATTGCAACACACAAAGACACCGAACGCCCCTGTTGACCCAACCCCAGCGGGAGAGACTGCAGAGACTGCCAACTCGGTTGCACTGCCGAATCACTCAACCACGGAACAAAAGCCATGTGCAGTTCAAATTTCGCCCCCTTTGGATCAGAAGAAACACGGAACCCCTGCAAAATTCCATCGTATCTCCCTCCAGCAGACTCGAACGGGTACAAGCATCAAGAGCATGCCATATGAGACGCTCTGCGCACAATCACAACCAGAGGTGAAAAAGAAGAGATTTGCTCATCTGGGCTCATTTTTTCAAAAAGGTAGTGGAGGGGGCGACAGCGTGACAGCGAAGCCCAAGCATTCAAAGGAGGACAAGAAAGCACAGAAAGCCCTCCAGAAAGCGTCTGCGGGTTCAGGTGAAAGCCCGATTTGGAATTGGGACTGTCGAAAGCCGCGATACTCGAACAAGGAATCTGATCAGCCAAGCACTTCCGGGAACCCTCTGCCAAACAATGTGCAAGTCCAGCAGTTACGGCAAACTCAAAAATCGGCGTTAGGCATCCGTCCAGACGAAGGCTCTGCATTCCTGAGCACAAAACAACTGGCAGCAGAACACCAGGCCCAAAAGGCTGGCAACAACTCGCATTCTGGTTCCGCTACACAGGGCCCATCTGCGCTTATTGGGCGCCTGCGTCAGAAAAATCAAGATCCCCCCCTTGCAGAGTACTACAAGCCTATTTCCGGACACGCCGAAGAAGAACAAGGGGCTTATGCTGCCACCACAGCTGTAATACAACAGCAGGAGCATCCAATACAGCGAATTCGTCTACGAGAGCCACAGTCCCGCCCACAATCGGAGCTGATTTTCAGCCAAAGCTGGTTATCGCAACGCGAGCAAATGGAGCAAGGTCAATTGGTACACGGACGCCCCGAACAGCCATCCAGTAACGGTCAGGGGATGCTGCAACAGATTCAACCCCATCAAAAACACCTCCCGCCACATCTGAGACTGGGTAAACTGCACCCACCATCGACGCCGTCTATTGGGTCAGGTCTAAGTTTCGAGTACAATCCCCACGATGTTATGGTCTCTCCTGCTGCGCCTTCGGGCCCATCTGAGCCTAGATATGAAGCAACCCCGATACCTGCTGCCTACGGCCATGTTTCTGGAGCTTTCGTGTCTCCTTTGGAGCAGCAGCAGCAGCAGCCAGCGTATCCATCTCCAGGTGGCCAGGCGCCATCTGCCTTGGCGAATCGTGTTGGGTGGCAGTATGGCGATGCGGGCATGTCACTATACACTCCACAGATATCTGCGCAATCTCTGATGCATCCTTACCACCGGACATACTCAGAGGCTAGTAGCATATCGATGGCGACGCCAATGCAGGAGTCCTCTGCCGCACACAATTCTTCGCCTCGCCCTACCACCCCACGTGCTCATAAGCCACGGATGGATAGCATCTCAGAGGTGCAGCAGCAGCAGTATATACAGCAGCAGCAGCAGCAGCAAGGCCGTCCCTGGCATCTCAACTTCCCAGCTGGGGCGACTGAGCAAGAGATTGTTCGAGCACGACAGGGCCAGTATATGCAGGAGCTTTTCCATGCTCAGCAGCAGCAACAAGCTGAAAGAGCAGCTGGATCGCCTTCGCCAGGCATGCCTCCGCCGCATGTAGCACCCATAGTCACAACCTCGCACAACCATTCACCAGGTGGTGGATTTCGAGAAATTCTGCCCAGACACCCTGGGCAGCCTTATGCAGCACCGCATCCTGCGCTGTCGCACCAAGAAGAGCGGTTTACAGGTCACCATGATCCCTCATATGACCAGTCAGCCCCTGCACACCCCGGAGCACCTCCACATCCCGCAGCATATCCTCTACCTATCGTGCACCATCCGACGGCAGATCCTACAGCTAGACCTTCTCTCGCCCCACTGCCACCACCAAAGGTACCTTATACCCCAACAGGCCCACTTCCCCAAGATGCGCAGATGGATCCAATCAACGGACAGCGTCATTCGCAGGGCCATTCCATAACAGATCACCAGTATGGGGCGCCACACGACAGGATTTCCCATTACGAAGACCAAGAACATGACGAGGCTCCGCCATCCTACGATGGCATCGGTGTGCCCAACGAAGGCATGGACAAAAACCGCCCCGAGGCAGTTCGACCGCCCAACATCAACACAAACATTGATTCACAGGGCCAAGACCAACGGCCCGGCCTCCGACCACGCCAGTCTTCAATCGGCATGCTGCAACACCCCCAGCCCGCCTCCATGGCCGCATCTCCCCAGCGCACCTTATCCGACATGGGCGCCGAATCGCTCCGTCTCCAGCTCCTCCAGCAAGAAAACCTGGTGCAAATGGAGCGCATCCAGCGCGAGCAAGAGCGGCGCGACGCCATGATGCGCGAACGACAGGAACGCGAAGCCGCGCGCGCACGAGCCCGCGAACTCGAACGCAGCGTTTCGGCCGGCGGCCAAGTCGGCAGCCTGCGCAGTGCTGGCGGCTCCTTTCGCGCACCCGACTGGGATCGAACCGGCAGCCAGAGACCGGTTTTCGAATTACCGGCTGTTGCCGATGAGGAAGAGCCAGTAATGAAGGCGACTAGTTATCCTGGCCAGGAGTGGATTCCATCTTTTTGGGATGGTGAATGATTTTGTTTCGTCTTTGTTGTTGTTTGCTTCACCCTCTCACCACCCTTTTTTTTCTTTCTTTCTTCTTCTCACTCTTTCTAATTCCCTCGCCATATTATTCTTTCTCCTATGTCTGTACTCTCTCTCTCTCTCTCTCTCTCTCCCTTTTCTTCTAGCCACCTTTTCTCATTTTTTTTTGAGTTTGCACTTTTTTTTTATTTGGAAAAGAGAAAAAGTTCTTTGCGTTATGTATCTCGCATGTTTTTCCTTCTTCCTCACTTTACTACCTCCTTTCCTTTCCTTTCCTTTTCTTTTCCATCTATCTATCTATCTATCTACACGCATGTAATCTGCTCTTGTGTTGTTGTTGTTGTTGTTGTTGTTGTTTTTTTTTTTTTTGGCTACACAAGCGACCAATGTTGGATACCCTCCTCGTATATCTTTTGTATCTTTCTTTCTTTTTTTTTCGATAAAAAAACACCCCCCCCACCCCCCTCCATCTCTCTCCCTCATATAAATTATTAATCTCGTTGCGTATACGTCTTAGAAAACGGTTGTCTCCACCATCTTCCTTTTATCCTTTGTTTTGTTTTGAAAGGGGGGGTGGGGGGAGGGGGATTTTTTTTGGTGCACAAGTCTGTTGGGATTTGGCCGGATACACGGTATGGCATGGCATGGCATGGCATGGCAGGACTCCCTCTCCTATATGAATTTTTATAATCCCTCTGTGTATGTTGTTGTTGTTGTTGTACAGAGTCAGCATCGTTTTGGTTTATTGGGCTTTGGATGCTTTTAATATCTCTCTTTTGTGTCTATGTGTCTGTCTGTCTGTCTGTCTGTCTGTGTGTGTGGAGATCAGATGCCTCGGAATAAGTACATACATAGTTCACCACCCCCCCCCCTCTTCCTTGATTTAATGCCATGCTGCACTGGAAATGGGCTAGAATATAGAGGAATTCTGCATCGAGTATTTGCTGTTGCTGTATCTTTCATGAGTGAGGTTGTGAGTGAGGTTGTGAGGTTGTGAGGTTGTGAGTGAGCACATGTAGCGTAGTCATCGAGACAACTATACTTTACTCTAGCAATTTATCAAGATTCGAGTCTGTTCCAGTAAGTAAGTAAGTACCGCGGTTTCCTGTAGACAGACGCTGCTCGTTCCAACCATGCATTCAACTTGCAGATACATAAGTACCAAAGAAAATCTCAGCCTATCAATCTACCAATCGTCGCATACCACATTGTAACAATACACCAATCATACACTTCCCTCCCCCCCCCTCCACCAATCACAGATAAGCTAAAATAGCATATATTGCATTCTTGGCTAATAACATCCATGGGGCACTTTACTTTCTCCAGCACCACTGGAACCACCAGCAGTAGTAGTAGTAGGAGCAGTAGGAGCAGTAGCACTAGCGGCCAAACCACGGTTTCACTCCCTCTCTGTGTGTGTCCATTTTACAATGTGCATTCTACAATGCTAATATGCGGATTCCTGGGGGTATAAATATAAGAAGGGAGGGAGAGGGGGAGGGGGGGGAGTTGTAAGGTTTTTTTTTTCCTGGGTGGCGTGGAATGAGAAGTATTAGTACTATTACTACTGCTCCTGCTACTACTACTGCTACTACTACTACTACTGCTGCTACAACATACCACTTAACACGATTAATTCCAAAGCAGCCTGAACAAGGGAAGCGAGAACAAGATACTACAACTACAATTACGGCTATTTGCAGTTCGTCGATACCGCAATAAGAGTAACAGAAGAAGAAGAAAAGTAACGCAGCTAGAAAGAAGAAGAAGAAAAGGGCTAGAATGTCCTACACCACTGCTGCACGCACCATCACCATCACCACCAGCATCAGCACTATGCGTATCCTGCGCTTAAGCGTCCCGCGCGGAATGGCGTGCGAGAAACGGGCGTGCTATGTGCTTTCTCGTCCGTCTCGGCTTCCATCTCGATTTCTCTCTCCATCGCGCTTTCAAATACAACACTACAATGCGAGACCGATGCATGCACACTATTTATCTACCGCGGAACTGGGGAAGCGGGATTTGCATGGCGAGGGAAATGGAAGTGGTGGGATAGCTGGAAATGGCGGGATAGCTGGACATGGAGAGGGAGAGGAAAAAAGCAGGTATTGGGACCGTGAGCTTCTCATGCTTACTTTTTCGCCCGTGGATCCGGGTAGCACGGTGCTGGTTGAATTGCCTCGTGGTGAGGGGGAGACGGGGGCGGTTGAGTCTGAGTGCAAGTCTGAGGCTGAGGCTGGTGCGGATGAGGATGAAGATGAGAATGAGAATGAGGATGTAAAAGGGAAGGAGAAAGTGACGGTGGAAGACTCAGATTGGGTGTTTCCACAGTGGAGGCGTGGAGCGCGCATGTGGTTTTCATATATGGTTTTTTAATGTGTCTTTTGGTGCAAGGGGTACGTGTCGAGGTGTCAGAACACACACACACAGAGAGAGAGAGTGTGTGTGTATATGGTGCAAGCTACACAATAGCATTTCAACACGTAAAAACATGTTCCAACTATATGACTACAACTTCTTCTTCTGTGATACAACCGCTTGAACCGGCTTCTGCTTAGTGTCGTTGATAATGACACTCAGAATACCCACGTTAATGATGAAGAACAAAATTGTGGCGATCCAGAGAGCCGGGACAAAAGTCGAGTTGCCGTTGAATTCGAGTTGAAAGCCTTGGAAAAGCCAGGCGGCTTGGCCTGCGATCCAGGATAGCAGGGCGAAAACACCAATCGAGGGGGATTGGAGCAGGGTGGATTGTGGGAGGTAGTAGGGGAGAAACATCATGTACCAGAGGAAGTACTGTAGAGTCAGTATGCTGGTGGTATTTGAGTGTTCTAGACTTACCTGGCTTGTGCAGACTTTGTTGAAAGTGACAAAGGCGAAGGTCTGGGCGAGCATCGTGTCTGGGAGGTCCTTTTTGGATAGTGCTAGCGGGATAAACACGGCGCTGAGTAGTAGCTGCGGCAGGAAGGCGAGTCGCTCCAGTCCGAAAGATGGCGGGGCCGAGTGTAGGCCACTGGGCTTTGGTGAAGAGCTGAGATACAGAATCGTGCTGTAGGGCGAGAAGTTGTGGCGGTGGTCGCTGCGGATCAAGTGATATAGGTAGCTATGCTCGAGGAATGGCCAGCCGTAAATGCTGTACATGAGGAGATTCAAGCTGGCAAATGTGAGGAGACTGTAAAAGGCCAGCATCAACCTGGATGGGTTGAGGAAGGCTTTGATCTGGCCAATGAGTGACTGAGACTGCGAATTGGCCTCTCCGGCAGTATTGAATTGAGTTTCGTCCAGGAACAAGACAATCGAAACGGCGTAGATGATCGGGTAAATCTTGAAATGGACTGCGAATCCTAGCAAGAAACCAGCAAGCGGTATCTGCTTGGCCAACACCGCCCACAACAGTGCTGTGACAAACACACCCAGAAGTCCTTCAGAGCTACCCCTGGTGCTGATGGTAGCCACCATTGGGTTCAGCAGCCAAATGCTCGCAAATTTCAGGGCCCGCTCATCAGTCATTTTCTTGTGCTCTTTCAAGATGCGAAACATCATCCATCCCGTAGCCACGTCTCCAATGGCGAAGAGGACCTTTCCGGAAGAAAACCAAAACTTTCCAGTCCATACCGTAGGGTAGATGAGCCATGCTAAAAGAGGCGTATAGCGATACGTATCTCGTGCATAAGGCGGCTGGCTACGGGATATGTAGCGGGCCGCATCAGTGAAGACGTAGTAATCGATATCTGTATACTTCATGGGAGAATTCGCATCCTGCCAGAGACCATACATGAGAAAGACGGCGCGGAAGATGATGGACGTGGTGAAAACCAAGACTGGACTGCGGAAAAAGGAGGAAAGGGACATGATGTCATTTGGTCAGGTCTCGCATCAAACCAAAAGAAAGACAGCAATGAGGTACGACGAAGGACTGGGGGTTGGTCCAGTCCAAGTGGATAGAAGAGGCCACACGTCGTGCAGCATGCAGGCGCAGCCGAGAGGAGCTAGTCCGCAAGGGCGCTAGCCTCCACGTGATGACGTGCGCTAGCGGACATTCGCAGCGTTTGCTTGACGTCTTCCACAGACATTCCCAAACAAACCAATGGGGCTGAAACGAGCAAGAGACGCAAACATGGCCGACGAAAAGCCAGAACAGCCCCCGTCAGCTTTCGTGGGCATGTTTGAGGGGTTCCGCGCAGAGTTGGATGAGCATCACGATCGCCGAGAAAGGATCATCAAGGCATCCCGCGACATCACCGCGTCAAGCAAGAAGATGTATTAAAGTTTGGTCAAGCGCGTTTGGCTAGGAACTGACATTCTGACAGCATCTTTACGCTCCAGAGGTGAGCTATTTACTCTGAAACCCCTGACATGTCATTCTGAACTTGACTAGGGTCCGGACTATCGGCCAGGCATTGCCGCCATGGGTCACCAAGAAGAACGCAGAGTACTGGGAGACGATTGAAGACCGGTACAAGAACATTGCTGCCGATCTCCAAGGACTCAATGCGTACCGGTACTCTCATAACATCACAGGCGGAAACCAGGAATTCATGGAGGCGCTCAGCTTCCAGCATTACCTGGAAACCCAGTCGCTCATCTCATACGAAGAAGCAAAGGCACGCATCAATGCCATGAGCGGCGGCGCTGGACCCATCAACTTCACGCCAGAAGACTACATCCTGGGTGTGTGTGACATGACGGGCGAGCTCATGCGCTTCTCCGTCACGAGCATGGCCACCAGCGGAAAACTGCCATCCGGCAAACAGGCAGAGTCAAACAAGCGGCTGAAGCACGACCACGAGGAGGATGGCGGCGACAAGATGGAGATTGACGAGCAAGCGCCAGCTGCAAGCGAGGCTCAGAAGCCACGGACTGTCTTGGACGACCTGCGGGCGGTGCGGCTGCAGCTGGAGATGTTTGACGTGCGTGGAGGGTCCAAGTTTGCGGCTGAGCTGGAGACGAAGAAGATGCCGGTGATGCGCGAGTGTGTAGACAAGGTGGAGAAGGGGCTGTACGGGCTCACGGTGCGGGGGAACGAGCGGCCGAAGGGGTGGATGCCGGACATGAGCAGCGGGCGGGGCGCCGAGGTGGAGAGCTTCTGAGGGCTGGCGAGTATTGAGCATGAATGCGAGTGGCAGCATGAAGCATCATGCCCCGTGTTGCGTGTGGTGGTGTGGTGTGGCTGTGTGGCGCCCCCCACTTGGCGTGAGCACGCCGTCATTCATTGCAGGGAGAATGCGGGCGCCAACCTCACCAGCCCAACCGTGCCAGTGACACCAACGGCCATGATGCGCAGCGTCATGATCCAGCCTGACTCACCCGCTGCCGCGCTGCCACAACCCATCCCCAGCGCGACCACGATGCGCTCGCCCTGAAGACTGCGCCCTCACGAATGGACTGCTGCGGCGCCCCAGACGCCCGCCCGTAGTATCTCCCAACTCTGCTGCTGCTGCTGCGCACGCCGCACCCGTGGTTCGCAAATCAACATCCGCCCTCGACCGCATCCCCCCCATACCAATCTCATCGCTGCGACAAGCACCCCATCGCCACCCAGCCCATTGCCGCCCCCATTGTCGCCCCCGCCGCCGTCCCCATCACCGCCACCATGCGTCGCAGCACGCTGCCCTCGCGGCCCTCCAAGCCCGAAATCGCCATGCGCGCGCCCGAGCCGCCCAGGCGCAAGGTCTTCAACTGCATCGTCGACGACACCGCCCTGATCGCCGGCGTCAAGAAGAGCACGCGCGATGGCATCCGCAAGTGGATCTCCCAGGACGCCATCCGCCTCTTTGTCCCGCTGCACAGTAGGCGATAACAGCATGCAGCTTCGTCGTCCCCGCGCTAACACTCACCCAAGCACTCACCCAGCTCCATCGTCTCAAGACGGGCAACGAGCGCGTCAACGCAGACGCACGCGAAGCCGTCAAGTGGCTCGACGAAGTCACGTCCAATGAAGCCGCCGCCCGCGTCCAGCTCGAGGGCGTCGACGAGCAATACCCTACCTGGGCCGAGGTCGAGCACTTCCTCCTGCCCGAGACGCTGCTCTCCATGCAAGACAGCGAGTCGGACGACGACGACTATCACGAGGACCTCGAGAGCTCCTTCAACGCCCTCGACATGTCCGACGAGACGTCCATGAGCTCGGCCCACAGCTTCGAGGATGTGTCCAGGAATCCAGAGTCGCCGCGCTCCTTTTCCAGCAGAGGCACAAAGCCCACCAACGGCGCTACGCACGCCGACAAGGCGGCCGCTCTGATCAACCAGTCTCCCCATCGCAACGCGCGCAAGACCACTGGCATCGCTCGTGCCGGGAAGACCAATAAGGGCGCCGTGCCCGTCTACCTCCAGCCCCTCTTCAACCACATTCTGTGGCGCATCAACCAGGAGGGAAATCCTGACGCAGCCCTTGAGTCCTTTATCCTCCTTACCAATGACCCCGCAAAGCAGGCAATCGCCCAGAAATTCGGCATCCGCGCTAAGCGCCTTGAGCAGCTCCGGGATGCTGTCGCCCGCGAAGACCGTGAATACAAAAACCACTTGACCATTCACAAGATCGAAGTGGAGGCGACTGCCGCTAAGAACAACACCCCAAGCACCCCCAAAGCAGCGGAGCGACCCAAGTCCAGCCCCGCAAAGCACGCTCAGCCCGAAGAAACATCCGACGACGAGGACGAGGTGCTCTTCAAGCGCGCTCCGCGAGGCCCATCGGCAACTACCAATGCTAACCAACGTGTCTTTGACCCCAACGACTTTGCCCGTACCAACCAACACCAGTCCCCTCGTGGTGGACGTGGCGGTCATGCGCAGCCACGCGGTCGCGGCGGGGCAGCTTTCCGAGGCCGTGGCAACTTTACTCCACGCGGCGCCTACGTCGCTCCAGGCCCGGCTTTCCGAGCCCCGCCAGCTCCTCGTCATGATCCAAACGCACCGCTCGACCCTGATTCCTTCTCCCGCCCGGCTCCCAAGGTGGGCCCTGTCCGCGGCGGCAACAGGCGAAAGCTATGGGAACCGTCATGATTGCGCAGAATGGAATGCTGAACATGACTGAGAAATGAGACTTTAGCACATACCGGGGCTTGAGCAGGACAGGCGCTGGACTACAGTGGCCCAGGAAGCCTCCCTTGACAGAACGTGTCATGATTGATTGATCGACGACCTCGATCACACAACCTTGGGTCACGGGTTCTCACGGAGCACGACTGTTTATTCAGACCTATTTCTGGTCATCCTCACAACTGTCGCTACGCCAAACGACTTAAATCTGGGCTCGGCCATTCTCCTCCACGGTCCTCGACACAACGGATACTAGCGCGCTTCCCTTTCCCAGGAAAGCAAGCTTACTATCTCTGTGTCGTTTCCTTTTAACTATTGATCTTCCAACCAAATTGCAAAAATGACAGTCCATTTTACGATATGGAGAGAGAGCCGGAGGAAGACTTTTGTGTGTATTTTCAGCCTTATGTGCATCTTTGATGGGGCTTAGACGCCTCTTGCAGAAAGCTACCCTGGGTATACTAGTGAGGGGTTGCTGTGGCAGCTCTGGAGAAAAAAAAATGCGGTTTGGATATTTCGTAGCTATCGTCGGTAGGAATACAAATATTTGCTTTTTGGATAATGTGTCTTGTGAGATCTTTACAAACCAGTAATAATGGATTAGGATAGGACTTTGTTTGCCCATTTCTTTTTAGGATAACGAGTTTGTGCATATGCTGACATGGACAACGTTGGATAGTAACTAATCACATAAACACGCTTTTGAAACTTCATCCTACAAACGACTAGAGTGGTTTTCTTTTCTCAAACAATTACGCAATAACAAGAAACTCAAGCCTAAGCGAAACAATTCAACGCTACTGAATACAATGTAGGTAAGAGTGATGGACAGTGACAGAGAGAGAGAGTGTGTGTGTCCGAATATCGCGCTTCCACTCCAGCAGACACGAGCACTTACCTTGGTGCACAGCAAACCTCCCAACTCGCCACATTCTGCCCTCCACATAACGCAAAACAACGCAACTACGCAGTCTCTCCTCTCAAGAGCCTCCCAAAAGCCCCACCGCGCCTCCTCTTCAACTCACTGAAACTGCCTTGCTCCACGACTCGCCCTTGGTCCAGCATCACGATGTGCTCCGCAATCGCCATCATTTCTCTCGCATGCGTGATGATAACGACAGTCATCTGTTTGCTTGGTACCTTGTCTTTTCCATGTGGAGAAGCGACCGACGTGGTGCTGTTCTCATTTGAAACGGGGACTCCCGCATGTTCGAGTTCCTCAGTCACACAGCCCGCAGCATCGTCCTGCTTGTCTCCAGCCGCGCTGTTTGGACCAGACGCTGTATGCGAAGAAGCAGAAAGAGGAGTAGGATCTAAAGCAGCACGGCCGCGTCGTACAAGCCGCAGAATCGTCTCGCGAATGATACCCGCAGACGCAACATCCAGCGCGCTGGTCGCCTCGTCTAAAACCAGGATATCGGGATTCCGCACGAGTGCCCGTGCAATACACAGCCGCTGCGCTTGTCCGCCTGACAGCCCCGTTCCGCCGTCGCCCACCAGCGTCGTGTACCCGTGCGGCAGGCTGTCGATGAAGTCGGCGAGGCCCGCGGCTTGCGCTGCGGCGCGCACGCTCGCGCTGCTGGTTTCCGGGTGCGAGGGCGAGAGCCCGTATGTGATGTTTTCGGCGATAGTGCCTGGGAAGAGGACGGGTGTTTGTGAGACGATGGCGATGTGTGAGCGGAGAGTACCCGTGTCCAGCGTCTTGATGTCGTGGCTGGATATGCTTATTCCGCCTACGGACTGGCCAGACGACGTGGTGTCATCCGCTGGGTAGAGTTTGAGTAGGAGAGAGGCAATTGTGGATTTTCCGGACCCAGAGGATCCGACTATGGCGGTGCAGGAGCCGCGTGGGATGCTGAAACTCATGTCGTGCAGGACCTGGACGTCTTTGCGGGTGGGATATGTGAAGTTTACCTTTTCAAGGCTGATATCTCCCGCAGACTCGATCTTGGTTGTGCCCGTCAGTTCGTGGGAGTCGATCGGGAGCCGGGCCAGGCGCAGCAGCCGTGTGCCAGCGTCGCGTGAAATGTTGACTTGAGTGATGTACTGGGCCATGGAGCAGACGTGGTTCACGCTCAACATGAGGATGAGAAAGCACTCTATGATTGTGCTTGCAGTGTGCTCGTCGTTCGCCATGAGCACGCTGCCATACCAGTACAGCAGAGTAGCAACGAAAATGACGCCAGCAAAGGCAAGTCCATAAATGGAACCGCAGTAGGCGGCGCGTTTGACACCGACTTTGACTGCCTCGGTCGTCGCAGCTTGGTGTTTCCTGCGGAAATGGTTCTCCAGCCCCAGACACCGGACCGTCCTGATATTGACAAACGTCTCGTGCAGGATCTCGCTGATCTTGTCGTCGGCATTGCTCGCGACCCGCTCCCAGTGGTTGCTAATCATGTCGTTGCATCTGGTGATTGCAAAGAGAACAGGGCCCATTGCGAGCGCTACAAGCGCCAGCTTCCATGATATCACCATGCTCCACAAGATGGAGATTGTCACCATGAGGAAAATCGCCAAAAAGATACACGCAAAGCGCCCCGGCAGATTGCGCGCTTCCTCCGCAAAATGGTCCAGCGTTTCCGCGAGCCGCGACGTGCTGTTTTCCTCTTTGTCGAAGAACTCGCGGGGCTGCACCAGGATGCGGCGCATAGCTTCGGTTTTGAGTGAGAGACTCCATGCTTGGGCGACTGCGTCCGAGAGGAAGAACATGAGATACATGGAGAGCCCGTCTGCAATGGCCACGCCGAGAATTACTAAGGAGTAGTTGCGTGCTTCGTCGTTCTGCTCAGACGACCGTTGGTATGTACTCTGTAGCCGCGCGAAAGCCCAGGCGAAAACGGGGGTGCATGCAGAGTGCACCATGGTGAAGAATAAAACACCTAGAATCATCATGTGCGAGGACCAGCCAATCGCCGGCCATACTGACATGAGGATGTCTTTTAGAGGCAGTGATTCGGTCGAGGTGCCAAGTTTGTCCGCTTCATTTTTGTGGCGCATGGCTTTGACTCTAGAAAGCACTTTGCGACCTATCTGTGATTTCTTGAGGGTCTTTGGTCGCTCGGGGAGCGAGTCGGGTACTGCAAGTGGCTGCGGATACAGGCTGATGGGCGATGTGGGTTGCAGTGACAGCATAGATTCTGTCCGCGAACCAAAGTCTTTTGATAGGGAAACTGGCCGCTTGTTTGATCCATACCACGACAGCTTTCGCGATGTGAGAGAATCAGGTCTCATTCCAAGTTCCTTTAACAAGAATGCGTCTGGGACTGGGGGTTGCCCGTTCTGAGGTACTTGGAGGGGATCTTGTCCCTCGACATATGAATATAGAGTTTCTGGTCGAAGTTCCCGATGTTCATAGTCAGACGCTCTCTGTGCTGGTGTCGGGTCTGTTGCTACATCGATCGCCTTGCTCTCGCGATTCCTGATTGAGACCGGCTCCGATACAGATTGTCCGAAAAGGATAGCAGATATCGGGCGAGGCATGGGAGACCTTTGGGCAGCCAGTGTCCCAGTATTCACTGGTAAGCTGTCGTCAACGTCGTCTTCTGAGTATTCGGGGGCATCCGCATCACTAGTGCCCTCCTCTGCCTCCTCGTAAGACTCAAGGAATGCCAGGAATGCGCCTCCTTCAGCCTCAAGCTCCTTTTTGTATCCCTCTTGAACTACTCGAGTGTCGTCCAACAAGTAAAGAAAGTCGTCAGCCCTGATCTGCGAGATATCATGAGTAATGATGATTGTGGTCTTCCCCTTGCGCCATTCTCTCAGCGCTTCGTATACTGCTGCTCTCGTGACATAGTCGAGTGCACTGGTAGACTCGTCCAAAACCAATACTGGTGAATCCCTGATTTTGGCTCGTGCCAACGCCAAGCGTTGCTTCTGACCACCGCTCATTGAACCGCCCTTGATGCCAAGTTCTGTACCAAGTCCGTCAGGAAGCCCTCCTACGACCTTTTCCAGCATTGCAAACTTGACGGCGTCATGAATGTCTTGCATATACAGCATCTCGTCTGGTTTGCCAAGCGCAATGTTGCCGTAAATGGTGTCGTTGAACATGACGCTGTGTTGTTCGACAAGTGTGACGTTCCGTCGTAGCCAGTGAACATCCACATCCTCGAGTGGAGTACCATCAAGGAATATCTGGCCAGAAGAGGGTTGGTAAAAGCGCACCAGAAGTTGGCTTAACGTGCTTTTGCCGGAACCGCTTTTGCCAATGATAAATGTCGTCTCTCCAGCGGGTATGGATAGCGATGCATCCCGAATGGCGACTTCTTCTGCTCGAGAAGGGTAAGAAAAGGTGACCTGTTACGTTAGCAAGGTTCAAAGAAATTGAAAAGATGCTTTACCTTTCTGAATTCAATGTTTCCGACACATCTTGCAGGCTTAGTTTGACCGCTTGACTCAAGCTGATCGTGACTTGAGATGCTCTTCATGAGCATATTAAGGCTTGCGCCTGCCGCCTTTCCCTTTTGCAACACGACCATTTGGGGCATCAGCTGTGTCATAGACGAAATGGCCATGAGAACAGCCCAAAACGTGGTCAAAATGTCCGCAGCGCGGTTCTCTCCAGAATCAATGAGGTGCTTGCCATACCAAAAGCCTTGGACAAACATGCTAAAAGTAAAAAACTGAACCAGGCCAATCTGCATGGAGCGAAAATTTGCAACCCATTTGTATAGGCTTGCTGCGAGGCCTGTGATTCTCTTGAAGTTATTGAGCTCATGGCGTTCGCCGTTGAAACACTTGACCGTCTCGATACTGGTTATCGCAGTCGTTAGATACTTCAGCGCAGATTGAAGTATTTCAGATTGTTCCTGTGCTCGAAGTGCTTGTCGGTTCGCAACTAGTGCCAAAGCAAGGTATAGCAGCGGAAGGCTGCTCAAGACGACCAGGGTTAGTTTCCAGGAAAAGTAGAAAGCAACTCCCAGAGCCGAGAGACACTGTATGATCCCCTGCGCTGTTTCACCAAGTGGTGAGGATACGGAAAGCTGCAGGTCGCGGATGTGGCTGTGTCGTGTCAGTGGAGGAGTTGTTTGCTTTGTAGCTAGCTACTTACGCTTGAACTGTTGGCAGAAACGCTGCAATTCCAGTCTCGCGCGTGTCAAACCATGCCATGTCCTTTTTGATGAGCGCATCGAAGATTTTGTTGTGAGCGCTCCGCGCCTGCATCTCACCAAAGGTGAGGCAACAGAAATAGTGAGTACTGTTTGCGATCCAGTTGAGAACTGTGGTTCCAGCAAGTATAACACAGTATTTTGTCATGTTGCTTATGAGCGTATTCTTGTCGATTGCTCCACCGCCGTACAATGTGAAAGTTCCGAAAATGAGCCCGTAGACAATTGCAAAGACAGGCATCGTGAGGGCAGCGACAGCAGTCGACACAAAGCCACCGAGGATTACGGGTACATGGCGTTTAGTCGTGAAGCTGAACAGCACCCGCCAGCCGACCTTTGATACATATTCCCGTTCCTCATCTGCCTGTGTAGTCGCCGTTTGGTGTTGATCCGTATTATCTTGAAGCTGGGCAGTCGTCATGTTGGGTAGTCGAATGTGACGACTGAGATGACAGGATGTTGGGAAGATTGCTGAAACCGATTCGAACAATTACATTGGCGCAGCTACAATACCAAGTAAAATGAAAGCAGCAAATCGGAAAGACCTTGAGATTTGAAGTGAGTGGCTACAATGGATGTGGCCAATACTGGCTGATGCTGGAGTTTTACGCGAGCTACACCGTGTTAGGCAACCTATTGTACTTAATTTGGTGGTGCCTGAGTTCATGTCGCATAGGTAGGAAGCCATTCTCTTAGCTGAAAGGCCGTGGCTTGTTAGTCTAATTCCATCCAGAAATCACAGTGTAGGGAATTGTAAGCGACAAGGTACTTTGACGATCTAGTACGCGTATGGTATCGAAAAGGGCCATAATAGGGAGTTGTGGCTGCAAGAATGTACTAAGGCATCCGCTTTCAACGCTCGCTTTATCCGCCCTTAGTATTGTTCTTCATGTCCGATGGTGAGATTGTTCAGCAATTGTCCATGTGATCACGAAACCGAAGCTGTCCAAGTTCGATAACATATGTTCGCAACTGACAAAGCGTATTGGAACCTTGATTCTCGTGAATTAGCAGCCGTGTTGTTGAGCAAATTCTTCGAGTCCACGATGCGCACATGCGATGGCCTTGCCATGGTCAAATTTAGCAGTCTACCTGTCTCCTTCAACGATCCATTTGCTTGAGCGGTGGCTTGTTTACAAATTAATGTAGACTGTTTGCAGAGCCCCACAAAGAATCAAAGAACCAACTTTCGGGTATGGCTAAACCCGAAGGTCAGACCACTTGCATGCTGCATATCGACAATGCAAGGGGGTGAATGGAGACCCTTGCAGGCCAGGATAACGATGCATTACTTATTTGCCCTGCGCCTGCTCGTATATCCAGTCATTCAAGCCCTCGCGGTTACTGTTCAAGTTAGCACAGGTGGGACCGCGCGGGCGACGAACTAACCGTGCGATTTCGATGGCGTAGAACTGCATGCGAACCGCGAATATTGTGCCTTCTTGGCTGTACTCGGTTTTGGGGTCTGCCCGCAGCATGGTGCCAAAGTTGTAGTCCTCGATCTTCTTCTCGTACTCGGTGATAAACTTGCGCCATCGCTCCTTGCCCTGCTTGCTCTTCATCTCGTCCTCGTTCAGCGTGGCAGCGGCGTCGAATTCGGGGAAATCTTTCTTGAGGTGCTCGTAGATTTCATCGTCGATCTTGGTGAGTCGCAGCTTGGAACCAGGGACTTTCTCGAGAATCTTCCAATATGTTTCCATGTGTTGCACAACTGCGCATTAGTGTTAGACGGGTCGCGATGGCGGCGCATTACTTCCTGTACCTTTGACGGCGAACTGCTTCTCGATCTACGCCTTTTTGTCAGTGACTGGGTTCAGGCTTCATGCTTGGGCATCCCACGTACATCCTCGAGGTTCTCCGTCTCCTCCGGGTTGATGCTAGCGCCTGCTGGGCCTGCGAGAGACATGTTGGCGGGCTATTTGGAAGCAACTTGGTAGTAAGTGTGAAGAAGACGACGAGTGGTTGGTGTTGGGTTCGTCCTTGTCGCTCCACGCGCTTCCATGGCCGACAGAAAATCGCGGGAACGCTCCGTCATTGCCCCGCCACCGTCTCTCAGCCGCCACACGCGCGGGGCTGGCTCAATCCCAAATTTCCCACCCAGAATGCCCCCCCATCTCACATGCGATCCCGCGCCGCCAATGTCATCCACTCTACACGTGAGCGCGCATCCAGCCAACACGGATTGCTGCTGATCGACTTAGCATGAGTGCACTCGCGTTCCCGTGACGGCATTGGCCTCTTGCGCCTCACTGTTGATCGCCGCAGAGGGCCCCTTTCTGCGCTTCTACCATGCCAAGGGCTCGCGATACATCACCTCGCAGCGCGTCTTCAAGGCCCAGGCGGTTCATGGAATACGTGTCTGTTCCGAAGAGCATGTTCAAGTCGTCCGGCTCGTTATCTGGGGAGGGCGGCTTGTGCGTGCCCTTGATATCAATGCTGCAGCTAATGGACGCTTGACCATTTGCTCGTCCAACGTCGCAAAAGCCTCGGATTGGATTTTTGACCTTGCCCTCAGGCCAAGCAGCTTGGATGATGACGCACAGCATCATAAAATAACATGTGTTGCCGTTACCGCTCACAATGCCCTGCTGCAAGTAACAATTCAGCACCAAGATACAGACACAGCTTTGGGAAATGAGTGCGCATACCTGACGTTATCCGCTTCCATTGCCAGAGGTTTGCTGACATGTTTTCCTCAGACTCATCTCCGCATGCATATCAGATTTGACATCAAGCTCGCGATCTATCCTTTACTCGGCTCATCTATTCTGGGAGGACCCGAACCGAGTCCTTGTCGCTGCTGGTACAGCGTTTGGCGAGATCATCTACTGGTCATGGTGTGACGACCAAGATGGCGGCCCAACATCTCAAATTCACCGCGTTTTTCTCGGTCATGAGGGTTCAATCTTTGGCGTCCAGATTTCCGAGGAGCTTCCGACCGAGTGCTGCCAGAAACTGAAGCGGGTGGTCGCAAGCTGTAGTGATGATCGAACAATCCGGATATGGGACGTTTCGGACATCAACACCAACACCGCCACAGCAAAAGCACAGGATGACGAGACTGAAGTTTTAAGGACACGCCATACTGGGTTCAGCAACGAGGCCTTTGATGCACATGAGCTTAGAGACTCCAATTGTTTAGCTATTGGTTGGGGTCATCTCTCACGGGTCTGGACAGTACGTTTCCTTGAGGCTTCTCTGTGTAACGGGTCGCTCTTACTTCAGTCAGCTGGAGAAGATGCCACTGCGAGGACTTGGGAGCTTACGCCAAACTGGGGAGACAAACAAAATCTTCCTTACAAGCTGTTAGAGCTAGACTGTGCTGCACATCACAGCGGCAAGAACATGTGGTCTTCAATCATTTCTCAAAACTCCACAGGACTACAGCAAGTAACAGCAGGAGGTGCTGACAGCAAGATTACCGCCACGCCGTTACCTCGCGGTTTGCAGGCCGAAAAGAATGCGTCTAGTGGTGTTACCGAGTATACAGTGAACGATATACTTTCCTGGGCTCAGTCTGCTGTTTCTGGTCTTCCTACTACTGCACAAACGGGCACCCAAAAGTCTTCGAAAAAGGGAGATTTTTTCAGAAGCTATTGCTTTGTAGATGAAAACACATTCCTGCTTACGACTAACGCTGGCAAAGTGGTAGTTGCATCTCTGGCGTCTGACTCTGGGCAAAATAATACGGGCATACTCTCAGGCTCTACTCTTCTTGGACAACCAGAAGACCTCTCTGGTTACTCAGTATGTGCGAGTAGCTCCCGTCCCGGTGTTGCATTCGTTGCAGGTGCGAACGGTAGCCTCTACCTATATCGCAAGGATGCTGCAACTTTGACAAAGCTGTATGCCATGGGCAGCAAGGTGGGGGAGATATTCGCCGCGGATGTGGGAGGATCAAGCTCTCTAGAGGTAACAGCCCTACTCGTAACACTTGCGGGACAGGGTAAAGCGCAGTTGTTGTACGTGGATCCTACCCATGATGCGGCTATATCAAACCACGTACACGTACCCATAGTGGAATCTTCAACTGGTTCTGTAGTTACGAGCATGGCTCATCTAAGAGCTTCTGGCAAAATCTTCATGGCAGTCGGGTTTCGACGCGGATCGATTGCTTTGTACAGCGTCGATACGGATGAAGGCCAAGCTACAATGCTCAGGGTCATCGAAAACGTGCACAGTGGTGAGACAGTCACTTCTCTTGCATGGAATAGCTCACTTGTAGAGTCATCGCAAACCCAGTTGTACTCGGTTGGGCGAGATGGACGTCTGACCGTGCATGACATGGATTTGTCTACAGGTTCTGTCACATTGGTGCACAACCTTGCATTGCCATTTGGGCCCAACCTTGAAGGTCTTTACATGCAGGAAGATCGCCTTCTGGTGCATGGCTTCTCGAGCAAGAAATGGTCTCTCTATGACATTACTACTGAAGAAGAGGTCATGAGCATCGATACAGGAGGTGCACACAGGAGCTGGGCATTTCACCCGCACTCGACTCTGGGAGGTACTCTCGTATGGACCAGAGCATCTAGCATGCATGTTTATAGCCAGAGTGGCATGAACCATACAGTCATTCGGTCTGGTGGCCATGGACGTGAAATCAAAGCGGTTGCAGCATCGCCGAAACACGATACAAGACTTCGAAGTTGTCTCATTGCTACTGGGGCCGAGGACACCGACATTAAGCTATTCCAATACGTCGACAAGAACCTCATTTGCCGAAGAACGCTCCGTAAACACACAACTGGTATCCAGCACCTGCAATGGTCGGCGGACGGTGATTACTTGTTCAGCAGCGGCGGTTGCGAAGAATGTATGTTGAAGTTCTCAATCGTGATAACCATGATACATGTTGCTGACGGTCTTCTAGTCTATGTATGGCGAATCCGAGACTTGCCATCATCGTCTCTCGACATCGGTGTTGTTTGTGAGAGCGTATATACCCCAGAAAGCGAGCATGCAGATCTCAGAATCATGTCTTTTGACGTGAGCACGTACAGAACTGCTCATATCATAACAATGGTGTTTTCAGACTCCAGCATCAAGGTGAGAACCCCACTTCATAACTACATAACTGTTTTCGTATTGACGCATTACAGACATACCGGTACGATACTGTAGCTGCCTCAAAGTGGGTACCTCTTGCAAAGGGTCTTTACTTCACATCATGCCTCACACAATGCGTGTATTTGTCCGCAACTAGAGTCTTGACGGCTGGTACAGACGGTCATGCTGTCACATGGCCACTTCCGGAAACTGATGGCGCATCTGCCAAATCGCCGAATGAAGTCTCCGAACTGACCTGGCATCATCCGGCGAAAATACATCAAAACTCTTCCAAAGTCATGACCTCTCAAACCCTGGACAACGACATGACGCTTATTGTATCTGGTGGAGACGACGGCAGTCTAGCATTCTTACTCACACGACTTACGCCTGCACTTTCAGCTTCGCCTGTTAGTTCATACGTCTCCCCTCCAATAATCGTTAGCCGCACACATGCTTCAGCTGTCACGGCGTGTGCAATATTTGGACAAGAGCCACAGCTCAGGCTTCTCACAGCTGGAAACGACGAATGGATTAGGCAATGGGACATCACACTGCAAAGTGCAGGCCAGGAAGGCAGGGATAACAGTTTACTTACAACTGAAGACACTCTGAGTGTTCGGAGGTTGCACAAGATCAAGACAAACGTCGCGGATGTGTCCAGCATGGCCGTATTGGATGCAGGCGACGGGGCTGCTGATGCACGGATCCTGATATGCGGTGTTGGTATGGAGGTCATACGCGTGACGAATGTAAACAACAAAGCTGCAGCATAATGAAGCTGCTAGTGGGGCTGGGCATAGCGCTCGACCATTCGGGTCATTTGTAAATTGTCGTAAGATAGTGGTGCGTTGCAGATTTCCCCGTCACGATCGGTCCGTGACGCTGTCGCCGTTGCTAGGCCAACGCGCATCCGAGTTCGGTTAGCGGCAGTTTGCGCTTTGACAACACAACACAGCCGAGCACGTACACAGATCCTCATTCCATCATCATCTCTCTTACAACCCGGAAACCACACACACATACCGCCTTAGCGAACATCGATATACATCATGGTCGCTACACGTCGCGGTGCGAAAGAAGCCCCCGCGCCTGCATCCGCGCCATCCAGCACACTCAACGCCCCTCCCAAGCGCGGCGGCAGGAAGAAGGCCGTCGAAGAAGCTGTTGAGCCTACGCCTGCTCCCGCGAAGGCCACCAAAACAACCGCCATCAAGCGCAAAGCCAGGGCTGAGCCTGAAGATGCTGAGCTGCCCGTGGCCAAGAAGACCGTTGCAACAAAGACAACACGCACAACCAAGGTTCAGACAAAGCCAGAGCCTGCGCCTGCTGCACCAAAGAGGGCGACGCGCGGCCGCAAAGCTGAAGAGCCTGCTCCTACAGAGGAGGCTGAAGTCACCGAGGAGGCACCCAAGCCAGCAGCTACTCGTACGCGCAAGATCGCCGCAGTGAAGAAGACACCCGCACCCAAGGTCGAGGAGCCGGTTGCTGCGGAAGAGCCTGCTGCGGAAGAGCCAGTCGTTGAAGAGGCTCCAAAACCATCATCGCGAGTGCGCAAAGCTCCAGTGAAAAAGGCTCCGGTCGTCAAGGAGCCCGTCGTAGCCGAAACTAAGCCAGCGACCCGCACACGCAAGCCAACAATGCCGAAAGCCTCAGCTCCGGCACCAGCAGCAAAATCAGCACCGGCACCCACACCCGTCCTTGCGCCGAGATCTACACGTGGACGCGATGCTCCAGAAGTCCCTCAAGAGTCACCACTTAAGGCGCCAGCCCGAAAGCCCACAAAGCAGACTGCTACTGCGATTGCAAAGGCTGAGCCTGAGCAAGTTGAGCAAGTGGCCGAGGAGCAAGCCGAGAAGGATGTCGAGATGGAAGTCGATCAGCCCATTGAAGAGCCATCAGAGCAAGTAGAGCAACAGGTCGAGGAGCAAACTGAGGAGCAAATCGAGGAGCAAGTCGAGGAACTAGTCGAACAGCCCATGGCAGAGTACCCCGAGTACCCTACTACACCTGCACACATTACCGCACCAATAACCTCAGAAAAAGCCATGGCCGAGCTTCCCGACTACCCCAATACCCCATCGCACATTGCTGCTCCCATCTCTAACAAGGATGCACTTGCTGAGCTTGCTGGGTACCCGAAGACACCAGCGCACATTGCTGCGCCCATCAGCTCCAAAGATGCTCTTGCTGAAATGCCCGATTACCCCGAAACGCCAGCACACATTGAAGCACCGATAAGCTCTAAGGATGCTTTGGCCGAAATGCCTGGTTATCCGAAGACGCCTGCGCATATCAAGGCTCCTATCAGCTCTGAAGCTGCCCTGGCGGAGATGCCCGACTACCCCAAAACTCCTGCTCATATCAAGGCTCCAATCTCCATCAAAGATGCAATGGCTGAGATGCCAGGCTACCCAAAGACACCGGCTCACATTACCGCACCAGTTGCATCTATTGCTGAGAAGGACACTGAGACTGTCGAGCAAGAATACAACGACATCGAGATGGAAGACGCAGAAGAGCTTGCAACCGAGCCCAACGAGGCTTGTGCATCTTCGAACGATGCAGAGAACGAAATTCTGGCCTCGACAAACGCGCCCGAAGAACCTCAAGATATGGCAGCTCCTTTGACTGCTGAAGAAGACAGCGCTGAAGGCGTCCCAGCTACCACTGAGGCTTCCGCCACACCAGCAGCCAAGTCTTCCGTGTCTCTTCAGGCCGAGACCCCCTACCAAACCGCGTCTCCCACTCAAGAGATCAGTGCTGATATGCCTGGTACCCCTCCTGCGCAGATCGTCTGGGACGTGACTGACCAAGAAGCCTTTGAGGAACTTCCTGCTGCCTACCCGACTACCCCAGCTCACATTGCCGCTCCACTCACATCCAAAGCAGCGATGGCCGAGCTCCCTAATTACCCAAAGACACCAGCTCATATCACAGCACCCATCACTCCACGCCGCGCTCTTGCTGAGTTGCCTGACTACCCGACTACGCCATGCCTGGCCCTCGAAGCTGCCATTCAAGAAGAGATCACTGCATCCGTTAAGAAGCAAACTCCTTCGCCTGTGCACTATCCCAGTTCCAGAAAGGAGGTCTCTTTCGGCTGCGAGGAGACTAGCGAAATCGCCGATATCAGTGAGATGACTGAAGCTAGCGAATTCAGCGAGCTTCATGTTGCGAGCACTGCAAAGACGGCTTCTTTCAGTGAGCTGAAGACATTCATGCCAATCAAGCCACTCCAACTCGCACCCACCTTTGCGGCTCCTGAACCAGCATCACCTAAGAAGTCGGCGCTCAGGTCACCGATGAAGGCTATGGACGCAAAGACACCAAAGAAGACTGTGGCTTGGACCGACTTTCAGGCTGATGAGAGCGACCTGTTTCTGTACGATGGCATCCTTCAGGGCATGGTCTTCTATGTCGATGTCACCCGTAACGGAAGGGAACAGAATTTCTTGTTCCGCGGTCTGCTTGAGGATCTTGGTGCCAAGGTTGTGACTGACATTTCACATGCTGGCCTCACCCACGTTCTGTTCAAGGATGGAAGCATGTCTACGCTAGAAAAGTGCCTTGTGAGCAAGGGGGCGATCAAGTGTGTCAATGTCGGATGGGTCCTGGACAGTGAGACAAACAAGAAGCGCATGGATGAAGATCCCTATCTGGTTGATCTCTCCGTCGCTAAGCCAGCAACTCCCGTCCAGGCGACCACGATGAAGCCATTCACTCCTTTCAAGACGCCCTCCAAGTACGCCCTGCCTCCTTCATCGCAGTGCAAGACGCCTAGTACTCCTACTAGCTCCGAGTTTGATCGTTCTTTCAACGACGACAAGGAGAACTGCGAGGTCGGCGCCTTTTTCGATAAGAGCCCCCTTGCTCCTCGTACCGTGCCCAACAAGAAGTCTTCTTTCTTGTTCAGCAAGTCGGCCATCAAGACACCATCGAAGCCTCTTTTCCTCACGGGTACTCCATCGAAGCAAACTCTCTCTGCTATGAAGCCTGCTCCTCACGCCTTTTCAACCGTGAAGAAGCGTTCAACAGAATCTTCGCTGTTCAGCACTTCGCTGGGCCCACCTAGGAAATTGCGTCTCTTTTGATTTCCTACGTGTTTATTATGGATGATACGAGCTGATCTTGCCTGTGGAGTTTGAAATACTACGGATGCATTGGGCGGTGCTGGGTTGCATATGGTGTCTGGGCGTTGTTATCTTTTTCAGCGGGTGTCAAAGTCGTGCTTTTGCTTTCAGCTCCTGCTCCTTCATCGCGGCGACTGTGGGTTTCCAGTCTGAGTTGCTGCCTCCTAGCAGGGAATGGCGCCCGTGGAAACCTATTCTAGTCCGCCAGTTGAAGGGCCGGGTTGGCAGCGTCTGCGCACGCTTTGACTTCTGCTTGCTTTCTGTGTTTTAGGTCTAGACGGTGTTTATGGGTTGGGTACTGGATACAGAAGGATGATACTGCATTGGTTGGCTATGGGGGCGTTTTCTCTTTCCACTCACTCCCATGGAGGTTGGAATGACTTGTGCTTTTTTTTCCTACTACTCTAGTCATGTTGCAAAGACGAATGACACCTTGGAAACTTCACTGCCTGTTCACCATTCGAGTGCGCCCTTGTGATGTAACAGCAGATGGTTTACCAGGCGTATCTATGTCTAGTCCATATCATTCTACAAATGACGTCGACCACACAAGGCAATTGGAGTAAATCAAGTCTATCCCCCAAAACATCTATCCAAACGCCATGCTCTCAGAAACTCTGTCCGCAAAGACATGCATGCTTCAAAACGGCACATCCATATCCTCGACACTCTCCTCTTTCTTCTTGTCGCCCTCGTGCTCCCACAACACCTCCTTGATAAACCCAATCAACGCATTCACACTGGCCTTTTGCGTGCTGGGCAAAAAGTGGCCTCCAGGATGATACACGACGAACCTGTCGTCGCTCCTCTCGCACGCCTCGACAAGCGCCAGGCTGCGCGCCTCCTCGACCACGACATCCTGGCTCCCGAGGAAATGCAGCACAGGCGTCTTGATCTTCGGCTCGTAGAAGGCGTGATACGGGTTCTTGCCGCGCGCCGCGAACCCGCTGTACGAGACTGCGAATTTCAGCGGCGGGTGGATGGCGCCCTCGACGTAGCCCGTCTCGGCTTCGAAGCTCTCTGGATACCGCATCCCGCCCGCGGGATACTGTGCTTCGAAGGCAGCGCGCCGGTTGGGTTCCAGCAGTGAGGCGAGCATGGCGGCAGCCGCGCCGCCCTGCGAGAAGCCGATGACGCCGTCGAAGGGGCCTTGGTCTTTCAGCACAGAGGCTATGTGTGCAAGGCCCTGCTCAATGCCCTCGTATGTATATGGCTCGCCGGTTCCCTTGCGCCGCCACCACGCCCACGCGTCAATCGCTTGGTCGCCGTCTTCTTCTCGGCTCGCGTTGCTGTCGCCCCCGTCTTTACCTGTGCTGCCTGCTAGGAACGACTCGTCGGCGGGTGTCAGGCGTATTGGGGCTGTGGGGTACACGAGCTCGATACCGCTGGGAAATGCTTTTTGCAGTGTTTTCCGCAGGGCGCCTGTTTTGGCTTGGAATAGCGGCCCTGATTGCGTGTATCCGTGTAGCATCAGGACTTTGATGGGCCGGTTGGGCGGTGGTGCGGCGGCCATGGTGCGCCAGTGGGAGCGGATGCGTAGATTGGTGGGTGTGTAGAGACGCGGATCTGCGAGTGAAATGAGGTGTCGGAGGCGCATGTAGCGGCTGCAATTAGGCCAGTTCCAAGGGCGTAAGGGCGTCGTAGGCTAATGGATGCGGGAAGTTTTGAGTACTTTCGGAATGATACCGAGTTCGGGATGCCGGTTGCGTCATGGGCTAGCGCGGGGGTCTAATGGCAAGGCTCTCTCGACATGAATTGAACCAAGACAAAAATGAATGCAAGGCACCGATGCATCGTATAATTTGGTTGAACGTCTATTATACATACGCAGCTTGCGCAGAGCCCTAAGCTCACCAATATCTAGACTAATCATGGGTCTTTTTCGTGTATCATCAGTGCTAAGCATTCATCGGCCGTAACACCACCTGCCGGCACGCTCAAAACAGCCAATACCCGAGGGCCTCCACGACTCTTATTTCGCTTTACCCTTAATCGCCTTGCTCTTGTCCACCTTGGTTGGCTGAATACGCGCCATCATCTCCTCCTTGGTAATCAGATGGTCAACACGCTCAAGCAAACCGAGCAAGCTCTTCATATTACTACTCCACTCGTTCAGTACGTCATCAGCATCCCTGGGCCGCGAAAAGGTGACGATGCGAGCAGGTCGATCGATTTTAGCATAGATGGTCTTGGCAGACACCAGCTCGCTGATGTTCTTCTCTGTTTCGTCCTCGGTCAGGTCCAGGAGCTCTGTAAGGCGCGGGATCTGGATGCGTGTGTAGTACTTTGCGACAACACGAACATTGTGCTCGATGACGCGCTTTCGTAGATCCTGCCACCTCTGGAACGCCTTTGGATCATCTGAATCGCCCTTTTCGGCATCAAACACGTCCGTCTCTGTGAGGTGAGGGCCGAACTGCTTGGCTACCATTGGCCACCTCATGAGCTCAGGGACAGTGAAGAGCTTCACTAATTGTGCATCTTGTGGGATCAGGGTGTTGCGCGAGTCGCGCTGGATACGGTGGATAAGGTCGGATTGCTCGTTATCGTACGGCGCGAGGATGATGAAGTAAATGACGCGTTGAAGAATCTGTAGGAGTCAGTAACTGTGTAAATGTGATGGGGCGCCGCCGCATACCGCTCGAAGCTTGCTCGGGTCCTCCTCAACAGCCTCTGTATCCAGGACCTGTCGGTAGTGCTTGCAGACGTCGAGGTACTTGTCGTCGTGCTTGGCCAAGAGGATCTGCTGTTCGTAGTACTTGAGCTTCAAGTCCGTCACGTCGTCCTCTGGCTCAATAGGAGGATCATCGACGCTTCGGTTCTTCTCCGCCTCTTCACGCTCCTTGCGCTCCTTCTCAAGCTGCTCAGGTGTCTTCTTCGGTTTCCTTGCAAAGTACCTTGTACTGATCTTCCTGCTGAGAATACCAGCCTGTGTCCAGTCACCCTTTTGTATGCACAGCGCCACTTGTTGTAGGATGAACTCGGTCTTCTCACGTCGGGTCATAGAGCCAAAGGTCTCGACTTGAAGCTCGCAAAGAATATCTGTCGCAGCATCGATATCACCCTGCTCCTTCTTGATGTTGGAAAGTATGCGCGTTACTCGAGCTCGCTCGACTTCGACAAAGATCTACCAGCGTGTCAGCAGCTTCGTGGGTCATGTCCGTTGTCACTGCCTACCTTGCCCTCGGTGACAGTGCGCAATGTCTCGATGACCGATAACTTTGTCTCCAGATTTGGTGTTTCGTCCAAGAATCCCATGACGGTCTGAACCATCTTGGTTGTCGCCTGCTTGAGCTGTCCATGCTTCTTGGAGAGGAGCAGGACCTGCTCGTTCATCAGGTTCCAATCCTTTGCATTCTTTGCTATTGTGACAATGGCGATTATCACTCTGGAGGTCGAAGCGAGGTCGGAAGCCTGGGATATATTAGACGGTGTTTGTGCGCACAGGGTATGTGAGGGCTTACCTGACGGGTCTGCTTCTCGAGCGCGAGCAGCTTATCGATTCCAGCTTGGGGATTGCTCTGAACAGATGCATTAGCTTCTGGTACATACTGAGATAGCTATCTAACATACAGAAGCTAGCTTCTCCGCCTCCGGAATCGCCGCATCGGCTTCCTTGGTAAAGTCCTTGTCGGCCTTGAGCACTTCTCCGGCAGACATGGTGGCGGGGTCGTGATTGTGGCTTCTCTTGGTTGCTGTTCGACTTGTTCGATCTCAGATGAAGCAGTTGTATCGCATATAACGTTATTGTCGAAGGAAGCAAGGTGTGGGATGGGCCGCGTTGTTGTTTGATCTAGTGTTGCGGCTGTCAGTGATGTAGAGAGGTCCACGGCCGACGCTTGGACCATCCGACGCTAGCACGGTTGAACCATCCGCCGATGAGCTCCCTGCCACGACTTCATCAACTCACATTGCGTTTGGATATTGCGATAACTCTTTATTTTCTCACCGCAGCTTACAGGTCTCTCAAGAAGCTTGTTCAAATACAACCGTCTATTCATACCTGACCACGACAGCCATGCTATGTGCCCAGTATCAAAACCTGTGCCCAAAGCGTGATCCCGGAGTCCCAAATCTACCCATATCTCCAGGCCCAGGTCTACTGAACATGCTGCCTTGACTATTTGGCAATACCTGGGGCCCATATCCTGTTCCTCCAGCACTCGGTCGCTGCTGACTAGTCAAACTGTCCATTCCTTGGATCACATGAGTAGCACCGTATTTGCGAAGGGCCGTCTGTAATTCTGGAATGTATTTGACAATATCGAGGCCTCTGCCACAATTCCCGGTCATACCTCCGATGAGCATGATAGATGCATCATGCCCCCCTCGGCTCGGCTGACGGCTCTCCTTTGCCCATCGTTCCGCTGTTTGCAAGATCTTGTTTGCTGTTCTTTTGAAATGTGCCTCAGCAATATCCTTCCACAGCGCTGGAGGTTGATTAGCCCAATTTCTGATGGCGTATACGACGGTCAGGCTGCGTGCAGACATTGTGTAAGCTGACGGCCCTGCCAGTCTGCGTCCATAACGCGCCGCGTAACCTGGCTCGTTGTTTTCAGGATCTTCGCAGAGTATCATTGCTTGGATACTGATAAGGACTTGTAAAATCGTAGAGACTCCAGGCTGCCATTCTTCTCCTTTGGCTCCGCTGAACCATGTGCCCAGAAGCGAGAGACAGACTACTTATCGTCAGCTTATGCCATATCAGGAACTCACAGATTCGAAAATACTCACCTTCTCCATCGGTATGCAGATTGGGGTTGAATGACAAGTGGCACCCTTGAGGATGTCTGAACCGGACTTGGGGGGGGACCTGTGGATATTCGCGTGGACAGAAGAGGTCAAATTCAAACAAACCATTCTCGTATGGTGTGCCTTCGGGGCCCACAATAAGGATCCTACATGGTCAATCTACATCATCATCAATTGGCTCTGTCACTTGGACTTACTTCATCATATCTGGTCGGGAAATGGCGTGCTTTACATAGATACCCGATGACAGTCCTGTCTTGAGGGAAGTAATCTCCGTTATCAGGCGCCTGATACGCCCTGGAGGGGATTGCCTCAACGCTCGCGCTTCGTTGATCAATATATACCTGCACTCAATGTCCGCATCTGGCACTTCGACAATTCCATGGTCCAGGACGTCGCTATTGCTAGCGCGTCTTGAAGTCCACCATTGCTCGATGCACAGGTGAGATGATAGATCAGAGATCTCTCGACACAGCCACAACATATCTTGACCACGTACGTCCGTAAACTCCGTTCTGAGTCGCTGTGCGTTTCTGATCATCATACTGCTCTGTAAATTGAGTTTCCGAAGACACTCTGCTAATGGGGATGCAGTACTAGCAGTGCCAGCAGTGGTGCTTTTGAGAGCAAGTGTCAAAAGATTGACAGTATCCGGAAACACGACGCGATCGGTGTACATGACTTCCTGCTTTGAGATGCTGTGTACTCCCACTCGTTTCAGAAAACGAATCAATGCCATGTACAGATCCGACCTTTGTGTCACATTTTCCAAGCTGTCGTTCCTCAAGAGCTCTGCAGCCTTGGCAAGAATCTTACTATGCACCAGCATAGAGGCCACAGCCTTTGGGGGTTGAATATCGAAGCTGCCAAGTGGTCCGTCATCGTTATGATCGTTTCCTGGTGAGGGACACAAGACTGCTAGGAAAGAAAAGATCATCTGGTCGAATCGATCTGATCTCCTTTCTGCAGTCTCTGCAGTCTTCTTACCGGCATCTTCTGCGTAACTTTGCTGGCCTTGGGGACGACCAAACATCCCTAGAAAACCTCCGCTCCCGTAGCCGACACCGGTTCCAGAATTGATGGGGCGGTTGGACTTGCTGCCGTTGTGTGCAGAGGCTTCGTTATACTTATCACTGCAGTATTTTTGGTCGAAGCCGCAAAGCATAACGAAAATGGTGAAAAGCCGCCCGCGGCTACAACACCAGCTTACCTTGTTCCTACCGCTGTTGACGAGTTTTTCTGTTGGCGCGCCAGCTTTGTCGAAACAAGCGATACACGTGGACTTCAAGCATTGACTGCATTTGACTTGCGAATTGATCGCCGCTGTGAGCCATAAGCTACGGTATGCGTAAAAATCGAGGGATACAGACCTCCGCTAAGCCAGACTTTGAATATTGCATCCACATCATCACTACGCTTGATGAAGCCGGTACTGCAACTCGGGCACTTCCTGTGTTGGAGGTACCTTGCAAAGTCGCTGTACGTGTCAAACACGATAGCGTTTGATGTCGTTGGTGCAGATGCACGGTTCTTATAAATCATTTGGCTCATGTCGAAGTCCGGTATGTGCCTTCAGAAAGCCACCGGACAGCTATATATATAGACGTAGTCATTGCATAAGTGCAACTCATTCACACAACACATTTTTCTTCAAGTCCATTCAAGCTTTGGAAATAAGATTCTTTGTGAATGTTCAGATGTGCTATGATCTCATCATCCATTCAATTCTGGATGAATTCTATCGAAGTCTCCCTTTACGGCCAAATCATTGAAGGGCCCATTTCACGTCCAGTTGCCTTGCGGGTTTACCAACGATCAAAGCATATTTCCACAACACTGTTTGATCAGCCTAGACACCTATAACTCACATCAGCAAACGCATCGATATCTAAGTCTTCGGCGTCTTGTTGTTCAAGCCAAGTAAAAACTGAAAACTAGTCGCTGTTGAAACCAGTTGTTGCTGGCTATTTTCTTTCCTCCTACTCTCCTTCGACCACTTCCCTGCAGTCATTCCCAAGAGGTGAGCAGTACGTCAAAAATTACTCACTCTTGAAGACGTCACCCAATTCCCATCCCTTGTTAAATCCAGATTCACATGACTGATTAGCGAAACCCTCTTCCGTAGCCACATCGTTCTCTTAGAGTCCCTCTAGAAGGGCTAAACTTACCAGTCATTATCCTTGCCTGTCACAGATGCACTGGCTATTCTACGCTATCTTTTATCATCCTCAACCAATATTTCTATCCCAGACATTATTGACGACAATTATACCGTTCCAGCTCATCTAGAGGCTTTATAAGTGCCCCGCGTCAGCACGTTGAAATTACTCATCAAACAAACCAGCGATAAGCGACCGTCGCTTTCTTCTCCCCGTTGATCCTGACGGTGAATAGATCGTGATTGGTGGTCAGAAGAGAGATTGCCGGAGGGGGGTGCTGCCTGTATCGCACCGACTCTGCTCGGACTGTCCGACTCATCATGACTCTCATGACGCGAATCGGGCTGATGCTGCGACTCAGTGAGGGGGAGTGTATTCTAAGCGAGTGAAATGTAACGATAACAATAAGGTTTTCGGGTAGCAAAGGCATGCGTGTGGTTTTTGTCTTAGCTGCAAAGTCCTATAAGCACATGCCAAATTGTGAGTTCAAAGTCCTGTGCGAGTAGTATCACTCTCATGTAAGCGAGTCAACCGTACATACATAGTTCTCTTGTATCGCTAGCACCACCACACCGCCTGGCCATTCGCTTCAACTACCATATACATACACACGCATGTTTCAACGGGCCACCACGTGCGTGACGAACCATGGTCCAAGCATTGAAACCGTTTTAAACGGAGATCAAAGCACTACCTACCAGTCCCAAGGTAGCCTTTTGAACAGACTTCGCCCAGCATACTTATCTCTATGCAACTTTTGCAGCTCCAGGGGCCAGCGAATGAGCATCCAAAACCGCACACACACCTAATAAGCATAAGAGTAAGATACAATTTGCAAACGCAGATAGCCTCCCTGCAGTGGCCTGACTCGCTACTTGCTGCCTTGACAATAAAATAAACGGCAGAAAAGTGTCAGCAGGAACCAAACCACCGGAAATCTCACGCTCCGACAAATAAACCCAAAAACAAAACGGCGTCCCGGTATACCTCCCCCCATGGAACACCCCCTTCGCCCCCCTCTCCGCATCTGCTCTGCTGTACACGCAAACACTTTTTGTTCCCCCGTCTCACCAATCCTTGGCTTTGCCTTGCACAAAACTCCGCCTCGTCTACCTCAGTCTCGAGGCCCAATTCCCCCCACACACACACACACAGAAGTTTGGGCTTGTTCCCCACATCTTCGCCCGCCCTATTCCCCACATTTCTCGTTTTCTTCCCATGCACATGGTTCTTTGTTTTCTTTGGTTGTGCTGGCTTGGTTCGTTTCACCACGAACATGGCATGAGGTCACCTTATCTCAGGGCTTAGCTCGACCAGACTCGACCAGATCAGACCAGACCAGATCGGCGGCCGTCGCAGGCATTCTACCCGCCGATGACGGTCTCTGATATATATGCGAGACAAAGAAGAGAGGTAAAAAAAAAAGAGGTATTTTTTTCTTCCTCGACGCCAGCACTGAATTCGGCATGGCATGGCCTGCTTTACCATGCACGCAGGAACATGCACATGTATCCTAGCACTACAAGCTGCATCCATAAACCTCCCCACTCGCTCCCCGACTTGGTCCGATAGCGTCACAGTCCAAGTACGTACGTACATCCGCCATGGAAGCGACAAGAAAAAAAAGCCGACACGCGATGTGTGTTTTTTTATTCTTTAATTACGGCGTTTCGGCCGTAAGTACGTAGAGAGAAGGAGGTAAGAGACCAAGAAAAAGTTCAAGTGCAAACTAGGATGATGCTGGTGCCGGCATCCGACGGATGGGACTGGGCTGAGCCGATTGCCAAGTTTTTTTTTGGTTGCAAGAGGAAGACAGAGAGATGTTTTTTTCTCTCTCTTTTAGATTGGATCATGAGGCGTTAATGGTACGAGAGAGAGAGAGAGAGAGAGAGAGACAGAGAGACGGGGAGAGAGCCGTGATATATGTGGTCTGTGTGCGCGAAGAAGAGACAGTCAGAAAGGGCAAGTATCTGTAATACCACCATCTTGAACCACACTTTTCAAACCCCTCATAATGCATAAGTACGTTGCAGCACCACGCTTTCACACACACCTACCTCCAACCCAACCCAATCCCTCTTACCCTCCCTCCCCCAACTCACCCTCGCACTCGCACTCGCACTCTTTTCCCAGGCCCTCCTCACAGACCCCTGACTCGACTAGTGCGGCTCCTCAGTCATGCGGCCATGCAGTGGGGTCGTCGCCCCACATGCCACGCTTACCTGCTTACCTACATGAGTACATAGTGTACCGTGGCCATGCTCATGCCTTGTCATGGCCTTGCGTTGCTGTGCATCTGGGCGGTTCTGCTGACGCTGCAGACGGCACATACTAGAAGGGGCTTGGGCTTGGCTGGTGGTTGGGGTT